TAAATATTTTTAAAGTAATTCAAGCGACACATATTTTCATTTTAAATGCTTTGCTTAAAGTTTACCGTATTTTCTTCAATAACAGTAAATACCTTCACGTGCCTTCTTTGGTAATGGACTGATAGAGCGAAGTTGGGGTTTATTTGTGTTCAGATTAGGGCTGATGACACATAAATTGCTTGGCGATGGTTGATTTCTTAAAGGTTCACCAACTAGCATTTAAAGAAATGTTTAAAAATATTCAAATTCTCCATTAAAATTAAAAAAAGAGAATAGGACAAAATACTCGTGTCACGAGATATCTGTTATTTGATATAGATCACATTTAAGATATGATATGAATTTTTTATTAAACACAAGATCTTTTTGTTTAAGACACTATCGTTATTTCCTATTCGTCTATGTGCATTGAATCGCTCAAAATAGAATTCTACTAATATCATATTATGATCGTCAGTCATGCATAAATCATCTCCATGCAAATATATAGTACCTTTATCTGTGAAGTAATTATATTGACGGCTTGGCAATTGTTCGTCTGGAAGAAATATGTTTCGGATTTTTATTATATGAAAAATCTTCACTTCGTATAGAAAGCCTATTGCCATAATCATCTTACCATTCACATCTATCAAATTCAACACTCACGTATCTTTTTATTTCTTTTTTTAAAAAAAAGAAAAATATATCAAACCAATATTTCACACACTTACCATCATTAAGATGTAACTGAGAAACTTCTGGCGGAGGTATGATGTCAGGTTGAACCACAATGGCCTTACGCACGTGACCAACATTGGTTAACAGCTGTAAAATAATAAACACGTGGAATAACATGTTAATAATAATTGTAAACCTAGAATGTGCACCACTTACCGCACGATTGCTTTCTCTCCAACGAGAGATTGCATTACTGTCATTGATGTTAATTGCAACCAGTTTTGCATCTTGTACCATTGGAGCAACACCTGTGTCAGAGTAGTTTACATACATACATAGTAAATTCTTTTTATTTTGACATTTCTCAATGTTTATTTCACTTACTATTCTGAAGGACATCTGTCGCATAATTCACTCTCTGAATAAATGCAGGATCTTCGCTGTTGTCACTTTCCTGCTTGGCCACGAGTATCACTCGGTTGGCTAATCTAGCAATAGCCGCGGTATTGTCCACCATCTTTTGTGGATGACCCTTAGCAATTGCTTCATCGCAGAGAAACGAGTGCTTCTGCATCTGTTCCTCGGAAGTTCTGATGAAATCACCGCTGTCCGTTGCCTCGTCGCACAACGCCCGTGCCCTTTGCATCGTTTCCGCATACTGTTGCCTCAAATTCTCAAAATGTTCATCCGCTGCTTTGCTGTTCGGATACGTCATTCGAATTCGTCCTGCATTTATCAACTGCGGTGTTAAAGACTCAACCTGTGAAGCACTCGCGGCCAATGCTTCTGCCAATTTTTTGTTCCCACCGCTCCCTAAAATTTCATTAGAAAAACGGATCAATTTCATTAGCAGTTTGCATGGTGAACTTATTATACCCTTGTTTTCACATACCACCAGCAGCGACCATCCTCGCTGTTTTGGCTGCTCTATTGGAGAATGTCTGTAGAGCATGTGTTTTATCATTGAAATTTTGATCGCGTCCTGGTGTGCCCTCCGGAGCTAGCACAGCATCCGTAAATTGTTTCAATGGCGTGGTGATGTCGATGAAGTCTTCGACTACCCTAGACACAACAGCCTGTTGTATTCTGTTCTTCAACTCATACAATTTGTGGGACAGTTGGCGAGCAATTTCTTGGGCTCGTGGCGTGTTTCCTTGACCGTGCGCGCACAGGTCTCCGAGTTGGTGAGAAAGATTGTCAACTTCATCGCAGAGCTGCAGGATCTCTGCTTTGTGTATGCCAGGCAAACCCTCGGCAACCTAGCGTTCAAAGTATAAACCGACTGATAAACACGGGACAAACTAGAAGCCGAGTCGCGTGTTAATGCTAGGGTACCAACAGTACAATTAGGTTAAGGTACATCTCAGAATAAGTACTCGGTATGTTACACGTAACTTACGCTTGCTACGTGTCGCTGATTCTGATTCCATTTGCGGCATTTAAATTATATTACAGTTAAGTGATGGCTCTCGAGTATTGACAACTATACTGTACCTAGGTATTCGTTATCGAGGAATCGTGCAGATTATTGTGCCGTACCTTCTTTCCTTCATGAATGATTAAAGCTATAGCCCTTTGGCCGAGTCCCTTGTCGTCGTGTTGAGGATTCAACAGCCATTTGTTGGCCTGCTCTAGACGACCTGCGACTGTGTGCGCGGTCTGAGTGGTTCCAGATTTATCGGCAGCTACTATAGCAGAGGCGATGGAACTTCGGAGCTCGTTCATCCTTTCTTTGATGCCTCGAGCCAGAGCCTCCGCTTGTGGCGTGGTTCCTTTAAAAATAAAGATGTAAGGACTCGTACGTACACACATCAACCTAACAGTTCTATGGAAAAGGAAAGTGAACCTCTTTCGTTCTGCCGCAATTCACAAAGAGCATTGGTCATAGTGACAATTTGTGAAGTTAATTTGTTCAATGGCTCTGCTTGCGAAGGGGGCAGATATCTGTCTGCTAAACGTTGTGCTTGTTCCACTATCTGGCGAAGACTCTTCTCTCCTACTCCACCGCGTAAAACGAGTCCATTGTCCAACCAATCGTAAGCTGCTCTTATTCTGGACTCTATAGCACTCTGTGCTTTTTTCAGGACCTACAAATGAGCGAAGGGATTAATGTTATTGTTTGGCATTGGATTACTTAAATTTGTGTCGATGCTTACCGTCAACTGATCGGCATCCCACTCTTCTTCATCGTAAGTTGTCAATTGCAGCACTCTAATGATTTCATTCAGTTCGTCGGACATTCTACCGGATAAGTAATTTCGATTTTCAGCTGCTTCTTCTGCTCCCTTACCTCCTTGAGAGATGATGTGAATAAAAATTTTCATTGAGCAAATGAGAATTGGTGCAAGGGTCTTCACCTGTTGCAAAGATAGATTTTAGAATGTGTGATTACCAATATGTGTTCTGTCTGAACTTACCTGATCCAAGCAACGAACAAGGATTTCTCTGTGCACTTGGTGAGTCAACTCCTTCTCGCGAGCGCTTACTTCCTTTGATACTTTACTAAGGCAAGGACTTAAGTTTTTAAGAAAATAGACTAAATCCTCCATGGTTTCCATAACTTCTGTTACTGCCAGATAGTCTAATACTCTCTTGCATTTTCTGATAATTTTGCGTACTTCGCTTTCATCGAAACAGAGCAATAGCGAACTAGTTCCTTGGAGAATACCACGTGAACCTTCTATGAGCTTTTTCCTACAAAGAATTGAAGGGTTTATTTAATATAGAATAGGAGGAACATACTAACAGAAAAACTGTTTTATATTTATTGTACCTAGCTGGTCCAGAATATGGATCTTGTTTCAACATGGCTGATGCTTCTTCCAAGAGACGAGAAGCACCTTCCACGCGTTGTAATGCAGCTGGCATATCTTGTTTAAGTAAAGCATCATCGGAAGAATTTATTGTTTCCTTCCCAACTTTTACAAGATTTGCCACTGCCATACTGACCGCTTGTACAGGTCTGCCTAAATCAGGCATTGCATTTCCATCTTCAGCCTCTTCATGTAGAATAACAAGTCTTGAAACCTGTGTTACATAAGCGTATGCATATATAAAATCATATTTTATATTCTTTCAATGGGTTTCTTATTTACTTATAGCCTTGTGCATTAAGCACAAAACATTAAACTAAAGGGATTCATAATTTTCAATGTATACATCATTAAAAATTATGTTCTATTATAATATGGAACATTGTATTCTTCATTTGAAACATCAGTAAAAAATATTTTTATTTATTCGGATCTTTCATAAGATTTGAAAATGTTTAATTTATCATAGTAATAAATACATTTGCATTCATTGTGCATTAAAGCAAATTGATTCATATTCAAAAAGTCATCCGGTATACATGCATTTGTATTTATGAATGTATGATGCGTGGGATGATGTGATGATAGGTAGTTGCAACATGCCCTTTTTTGGAAATACTAAGTCCCAGGCAATTAATATGTTTGCTTTATTGATTTATCATGTGAAGGGATTAAGTTTCATACATCCAAGCTTTCAGACCTACAGATGAATTTAGTACCCCTGCCCTATATTTATAGAGTGATGTCATAGTTCTATATAAAGACACACAAGTCACTTGGCAGTTTGACTTGCGGTAAATAGAATCATTCATAATTAATATTAATGTTAATGATGACAAATTGCCTTCTTCAAGCGTTTCTCAAGGAACTTCACCAAATAACAAGAAAAGTTTGACAAATGAAAATGTATACAATGGGATTATATATATAGGTATGAGGTAAAGCCAACAAGAAATGTTTATCTCGTGTTTTATAAACATGAATCTTCACGGATAAACAATTCTTCTTAGAATGATGTCCTTTTTGTCAGGTACAATATTTTTATGAATTACTCCCCTACATTCTCTCTTCCCTCTTCAAAAGATAACAAAAGCAACAAAAGTGACACTTAAGGTATCACAGAATGAAGTGCATTTTTATTAACGTAACAGTTGTTAAATAATGAAACTAAAAATTAAATTACCTGCTGTGCCACAGGCTCAAGAATACTTTCTATAGTTTTCGTGTGAAACACCGGCATCTTGACGTCTTTTCTCGTGAAAATGCAGAAATATTGACTACGTGACTGTACTCAGAAGAAAAAAAATTCGCTGGGAATGCAACCGAGAATTTACACGTAAAATCATTAACAACACATTGGTTAATGTGAAAATAATTCACCGTAAAAATAAAGAGAAACAATACGAACAATAGGCCTCGTAGAACAACGAGAACGCAATACTAGTTGCGATGGAGCGTGATCAAGACTCCCAGTTGCTTACTTAAGAAAATCGTATCGATGCATCATCACTTAAAAATATCTAGGGAAAACAAGGCAGCCATAAATTCGAAAGTTTCCAGATTATTTATTGAAACGACAGCCTGGTTTCTTAGAAAAAATTCCCTAAGAAACCACGTGGTGGAGGAACTAAAAGCGCGGGATTTTGCTACGCATATTCACGTTTAAATTGACTTAAATAAATATGCGTGTATAACTTTATAAAAGTGAAATAAGTGAATAGAATTACTTCTATATAACATTAGTTTTGTAATTGAAATAGTTTCTAAGATATTAAGCATTAATATTTAAAAAGAGCCCGGTTAAAGTTCTCCCGTCTTGGATACTGTATTCGAATGTATAACCTCGAAATTTTGAAATCATCTTGTTGAACCATGTGGGTTTTCTGTGGTAGAAAAGAAGAAGATTCTTTATTTTGCTGACAAATGTTAGCTGTATAAAATGTGTAAGATTTATTATTTATAAATTGTGGATTCAATATTTATAAAATTCTTGAAAGAGGCACTTTTCTAAACGTTTTAATAAAAATTTTATTCACTTAGCAGAGGTTAATGATATTAATTATATCTTAAGTAAAAGTAATAATGCCGGGGAATCACGTAAAACGTCGAAACTGGGTTTATACCTCGTTGGAATAACAGGCAAGAGTACAAAATTATTTAGTGTTTTTTTCCTTATATATTATTACATATCGATTTTAATTTTCAGGTGGTTTTGCAACAGCTATAAGTATAATATGTATTCCCTTCGTAAGCCCTGCATTTCGTAAGATATGTTTACCTTATGTACCAGCCACCACTCAACAGGTACAAAATGTACTGAGCGCCTTGGAACACCGCTCTGGATCTTTAATCGATGTTGGGAGTGGAGATGGACGTATAGTAAGTAGTCTGTTATTGCAGAACAACTTAAAACAATTAGGAATACGTATAGTTATTGTTATTTTCATTTGAATAGGTTTTTGCAACAGCTAAAGCTGGCTTTAAGGCTCATGGTGTTGAATTAAATGCTTGGTTAATTTGGTATTCCAGATTGAGAGCTCTATGCACAGGATTATCGTCACAAACAACATTCATTAGGCAGAATCTATGGACACATAATCTAAGAAATTACAATAATGTTGTTTTATTTGGTGTTGATCAAATGGTCTCGTCTTTAGTAATATCTTATATAGCACTTTTCAATGATTAAACACAATTAAAGTTTGTTATCTTTACAGATGCAAGACATAGAAGAGAAATTCTTAAGGGAATTAGAGAAAGACTGTGTTATAGTTGCTTGCAGATTTCCACTTCCTAGCTTGAATGCAATAAAAGTAATAGGCGAAGGTGTTGATACTGTTTGGGTTTACAAAGTTCCGAAAAGGACTTAAAAGAGTCTCAGTATATTTAGGTATAATAGAAAATTTTTATTGTTATAAATATTATATAGCTATGAATAAATTATGCTAGATACAGAGTACAAATTATTATAACTTTGTGAGATACAGTCTGATAGACTACACTTAATAATTGACACTTGTATGTTACGAAATCATTAACATATTAAATTAAAAAATTCATTTTCTATTATCTATAGATTATTTCTAATTCAGACATACATTCTTACACAATGTGAACACACAGATGCATTTGTTCGTCGTTAATTATACTGTTAACAGAAAATGCACGTTTCCTTTGAAATACATTTCTTTTAAGTGTACACTAAACATTTAGGATTCTGTAATGAAAAACTGTGCGAGCAGATTTAAAACGCCGAGTATCGGTATAATTACATGCAGAATTATGAAAAACAGCGTCAGTCGCTTTTGCTCTTTCAAAATTGACAAATACAGTAAACTTGGCAACGTAAAGACATAGATGAAACCGCTCAGGGCACCTGTATATCGTATTATTGTACCGATATACGGTACAAAAACTGCGAACAAAATACATATGCATATCAAAATGATATTAACTAAAAGGACGCAGCCCATGTTGGATGTTTTGCATATCGACGACAGCAATTGGATGCGTAGCATATACGCGAGCAAGGGATAAACTGTCAGCAATTGGAACAGTAAAACAATACGAGCACCTACTGTTAAACCACTCCATTTTTGAAAGTTGTTCAGTAAATTCTACAAAAAAAAAGGGAAAAGTTTGTTATCAATGTCAAAAAGAATTATACGTCAAATATTTTCTATTTTACTCACATCTTCGATACAGGATTTGCTGAGTGGGAAACAGATGTAAAATACTACACCGACTATAATGTATGTCAGTGTAACGAGAATATACGCTAACGAAAGATCTCTTCCCTGTATGTGAATAAATGTTATTTTAAGTCCGTGGAACTATATGTGAAATACAACAACATCGTTGAAAAGATTATGTTACTTACATTTTTGCTTTGATCACGATTGTTTTGCATGATAGTAACTATAATGTTATGAATGAAGAATGACATTGCCAGCATTCCAGACAAAGCGGGAAACGAGAATTTGAGCGTCCAACTAATTTCCCAGTCTGACAGTTCCATGTTAATACCCCATGATACAGATTTCACCAAGACAAATATAATCAAATACATGACCGATGCGGTTCCTGTGAGATATATAGAGTTTTCATAATTTCATAGAATAAAACATAAATTTATTGTGACCTAAAAAAAATATTAAGTCGTCGAATCATTCACATGCAGTACAGTTTTCAGTAGAACAATAATCGCGGAGCGTTTACTTACCAAGAGAATTGAATTTTGTGAAGAAGGTAGGACTATTGAAATTTAGAATTGGAAATATTAATAAACCGAGGAACATAGGAACTGTTTTGTATAGATCCCACAATGGTCCCAAAGAGCTGTACGTGTATTCTTGAATCTCGGTATTTGTATTATTGTGCATCTTCTTTGGGCATAGTAACTCTGATGGATAAGAATCATTGTTTACTGGAGAAACATCAGACGTTTCTTTCAAACTATCTGTAAAAGATTAAAGGACATTAAAAATTCTTTTATCTCTTAGATTAAAACGAAAACGAATGGTATGATTTTTATTTTATATTTACCATATATGAAATTTACAGAATTATACAGGAAATTGGACATCAGTACCCAGTATGCAATAGTTGCACCTAACAGCACAGTAATGCTAAAACATTTAGCAATGTATTCTGCCCATTTGTTTAGATATATTCTACTCAAATATACTACTTCCACATGCCTGTATCCACCTTAAACCAAAAATCATAATTTAATTACTATCCTGACCTTTAATATCACTATGCTTACATATTCAAGGAAATATTCTTTTACCATGATATTTATGTACAAGAAGAAGGCAGTAAGCAGTGTATAGACACAATCCGCTCATTATTAAAATAAGAATAATACCAGGAAAAAAACCAGCCATTTGAATACCCCATGGTATTGTTAGCAATGAAGAACCCAATATAGTGTTCCATATTGAAAACCTGTATGGTATGTACATCATATTGAATATTACAACAAAATTATATTACATTTGAAAAATCATTTGAATCGTTCAAATGATCATTTTCGTTCCAGAAATTTCGTATAGAATAGATCATGAGATATTTGAAATTATTAATTATTCGATAGACCATATTCTGCATTTCGTGTATCATTTAATTTCTGATTAGGTTCGGGGTGGATAAAAATTGCACAGCCAAAATGGGCATGCCAAAAAATGTCCGGTACGGTTTAGCTGTTAGCTACGGGCATTGACCTTTCGGGTGGTCGTCTGTTGCCCAGGCAACCGACGGAGCAGTAACCCCTGCTAAAGTGAATATACTATGCAGCAGACACAACCACCCGATGGTTGCCGAAACGTGAGCGACCGGTAACCGTGCTCGCCTCGTTCCGATTCGTTTCCATGTCTTAAAAGCATGCATCTACGAAATTTCTCGATTATATTCTAAAGTTAAAAATGCGAACGGAAGAATCCGATTCATACCTGCAAATAGGAACATTCAGTTTCGTAATTCAAAATGTTTTATTCAACGGTATGTTAAAGATTGCATGCTTTTAAGATATGGAAACGAATTATCGTTCACTTGATTCTAAAACAGTAATTACAAATTTGATAACTAATAGTAGTGAAATGTTACATATATATATAGATATATATGATAAAAAGAATATTAAATTTTCATGATTTCGGACAATCATTAATTTGACAAAGTTGTGAGGAAGAGAATTTAGTTAAGGGTGGGTAAGTACAATTTTGTTCAATTCTCTCTCTCTCTCTCTTGAGTTGATAATTGTGTTAAAATGTTTTATACATTTTGAATAATAATAATAATAAGCATTGATAGAATTATTGTTGTACAGTGATGTAGATTAAATACCAGAGATACAATACGCTATTTATAAATTTCAATGAATATTTGTGGTTCCTTCTTTTATCTCTTCAAACAGGTCAAAGGCACAAGAAATTCTGTTATCTGAGAACGCATGATACCTTTTTTTATAAACGATCTTTTTTCAAAGGAAATGATCTATCAATTAATGACAGTATACAGTGATTTATCTCATTCAAAATGCATATAAGCATTTCTGATGCAAGATTTCATTTTTCTCTCGTCATCGACCTACTAAAAATATAATGACTAATAAGAGATAAGAAAAAATTTATGAATGTGATTAGATTTCAGAACATAGTACTAAGAGTACTGACCCAGAACCCTTTCTTGATGATAACATTGATAGCTGATAATAATTTGTAATTAATAGTACAATATGCCACAGTGCTAAATTTAATCTTGTGTTTACCATCGTGCTAACGAAAACGACATTAACAAGTATTATCCTTTGGCTCTTTGTAGAAGCATCTTCACGGTGCAATTACTTTTATCTATTCATTATAGAACAACCAGAAGAAATTTTTGATATTACTTACACAGTTACTAGAGAACTTTGTTTTGGTTTAGTTTCCTTGCATGCGCCGCGCGTGGTTTCTTGTTCCAATGAACATGATCGAGATAAATATTCGCTTGTGAAGTTGTTCAGCAAGGATCGTTTACTGTTCGATTCACCTTTTTCATTACTAAATATCTAACAGAATAGAAACAATGATATTCATACTTGGTAACATCAAAGAGCAGAGTAATGATTATTTTCAAATAAAGTTATTTCTGACTACACATCATTGTGCATTCAAGACTTACAAATTGCAATGAAATTAATTTCTACTATTATGTATGTATATATATCTCACTCAACCTTGATACGTACAAGGACATTGGATCTAACAAAACATGCAATTTTATATACTTTGTGGTATCCTCACCAGATCAGTATTATGAATTTCATAACATCTGTCTTGTGTTACATTTAGTGGGCAAGCCTTATTTAGTGACATAACTAAAGTGGGTTCTTGAGCTAGGGGTGGTGGTCTCTTTGGTATTACATTAACAGTGGAGTTAAAGCTACAAACTTCCATACTACCATACCTACAAAAATCATATTTTATAAATAAAAAGATTACTGTCAGTGATAGTGATTTTAATATAGATAATATTTCAAAGAAAATATAATATCAATCAATTCAATGCAATGATAAAAATTGTTACTTGAAATATGTATTGGTAGGAGTACATTCAAAGTCACTTGTCTCAGAATCATTAAATATAGTAAATTCAGCGCTTGCATGGGACTCAGAAGAGAGTAATGGTGCACTCTCTGATCCACTATCATGCTGTGTGTTAACATCCCAATCCTTTGATTTATGCATGGTACATTTAATTAATTTTATACCTAATCAACCATGGCAACAAAAGAAATGCATTATTATCATAGAAAAAGGACATTTCAGTCATATATTTTACTTATAACGAATATTCACATGATCACTTACCCAATGCAATTTAAATTAATATATCCAAAAATCGTCCATGCGGAATGCGTTAAGTAGTCGAAATTTAAATGTATAAACAATTACAAACGACTGAATTAAAATATCTATCGATTTAAGAAATAATTTCAAATAATATTGAAAATGGTAATAGAAAACTTGTACATCAACACATCGTAGAATTATCGAATTAACGGTAAAATAATTTCCAGGCGACACTGACTTCCCAAACGGATATGCTTTCACAGTAGTCACTTCAGGAAAACCGTTGTTTTAAACAACTAGCTGTCTGTTTTGTAAACCCGCGTACTTATATCGGACATCCTTGACATAACAAGCTCCCTCCTCCTCATTTTTCTTCGGTACTAATACTGGTCATCATAATAAGCAGCGCTTCTCTACACGCGTGTGTGAAATTTACACGAAATATCTTTTTCATATTTTCGTGTATTCTGAGTAGAAATGAACATGACAACGCGCGTATTATTGACTAACAAGATATGTCGCATTCGAATGACGCAATGGAATTTATTTGTTGGACCAAGCCGCTTATTTCGTACACTCTTATCTGGATCTCCTCCCTAACTTTTTCTCCGATTCCAACGGACGACTTGCAAGCTCTGAAACAGTCTTTCGATTCAAATTTTCATCCTTGTTCATCGATCGAAGAAAAAGAATTCCGTGAACGATAACAGAGTAGAGCGAACCTGTTTAAATTAGCAAACGTCCTAGAAAAACTTGGTGCGCTTATTTATTCAAGGCTTAGCCGATAAGACATTTTTAACATTTCTTTACTTGCTCGACGCGTCGTCATATCGGACGGAAGCCATTACGAGCGTCGACGACGTATCGATAGAAACTTCGTCTATCGTCGAAATTTTCTATCGATTGTTTGCGGTGAGCTATCGGAGAGCGGCGTTCATAAGAATACATATTTGTTTTGAATTCGAAAGATTCGTTCGGCTGCCGCGGAACGATATTATTAGTCGACGGTAAAGCGCGGGCGCGTGCTTCAAGATGGTGACCCGTGCCCTTGTGTGTCATTGGCAGACAAAGTTCAGTCTGCTAGCAGACACCGAGGACGTGTTATGAAATCCCCGAAACCGAATCTTCATCGCTGATCGGGGCTAGGTTACGAACGGTCTTTATTCTTTGTTTCAGTTATCGTTTCTATTCCGTTGAGCTGCACAGCCTTTTCGAACATGTCCGGTGCAGCGACGAGCAGAACCGTGGAGACCAAAGTGTACGAGGGCCAAAAGCCGGGTACCTCTGGTTTGCGGAAAGCTGTTAAGGTCTTCATGCAAGAACATTACACGGAAAATTTCGTTCAAGCTATACTCGAGGCGCTTGATAATCAGTTGGTCGGTAGCACGTTGGTTGTAGGCGGCGATGGAAGATATTACGGCAAAGAGGCCATTGGGAAAATTATCAGGATCGCGGCGGCTAATGGAGTAAGTTCATTTTAATTTCATGGGTTTGACGTGATGTTAACGCCAGTGGGAATTTATTATATTGTTAACGATAGCCGAAAGACAGTTTGAGATCATGGGAAGGGATCAAGGGTATTTTATGTTTTTATTACTCGGTAATAGTTGCACGGGATTTTTAGTTTTGTCATTGCGAAGATAAGTATGTGGCATGACGAGTGACTTTTACACTGGTTTTATGTAATGCTTCAGGTGAAGAAGTTAATAGTTGGCCAGAATGGGATATTGTCGACCCCGGCAGTTTCTACTATAATAAGGAAATATAATACTCAAGGAGGAATTGTCCTGACCGCGTCTCATAATCCTGGTGGCCCTGATGCCGATTTTGGGATTAAATTTAATTGCAATAATGGTGGTCCAGCCCCAGATAACGTGACAAATAAAATTTACGAAATAACCAAGCAACTGAAGAACTATAAAATTGCTCCTGATATAAATGTAGACATAGATAAGATACAGAACACTGTTGTTCAGGTTGATGGACATGACTTTACAGTTGAAGTGATAGACTCTGTGAATGATTACTTAGAATTTATGAAAGATATCTTTGATTTCTCGAGCATTAAGAGTTTGCTTCAGGGAAGCAGTAGTAGACCTGCCTTTAAGGTTCTCATTACTGGAATGAATGGGGGTATGTTTAAATTAATTTACAATTGTTCACTTGTTTAGTATTTATCAATTATTATAATGACATTATTATTTACAGTTACTGGGCCGTATATTAAAAGAATATTTAGCAACGAATTAGGTGTTGATAATTCAAGTCTTGTTAATACAACTCCATTAGAAGACTTTGGAGGACTTCACCCTGACCCCAACTTAACATATGCCAAAGACTTAGTGAATGCTGTAAAGAATGGTCCATACGACTTTGGTGCTGCTTTTGATGGAGATGGGGACAGGAACATGGTAAATGAGAATTATATACCAACACGAAAAACAGCAGAAAAATATTTATAGTACGTGTATCTTTGTTCCTCTAGATTATAGGCAAGAACGCATTCTTCGTTACACCATCTGACTCATTAGCTGTATTAGCTGCTAACTTAAACTCAATACCGTACTTCAAGAAGACTGGTGTTAAAGGATATGCTAGATCTATGCCAACAGGTGCTGCTGTAGACAGAGTTGCAGCTAAAACCGGTGTTAAGCTTTTCGAAGTACCCACAGGCTGGAAGTATTTTGGTATGCTGTTTCATGTGTAACAACGATAAGCTGTTAAAGATACAACTCGTATATTACATTCATAAATAATATTAGGTAACTTAATGGATGCTGGGCATCTGTCGCTCTGTGGTGAAGAAAGTTTTGGCACTGGTTCTGATCATATTCGCGAGAAAGATGGAATATGGGCGTGTCTTGCATGGCTTAGCGTAATTGCAAGTGTTGGTAAATCTGTAGAAGATATATTGTTAGATCACTGGCAAATATATGGAAGGAATTTCTTCACTAGGTACTTCCCCTCTTAAAACAGGACTATTTCGTGCTAGTTTAACTAGGCTTTGCTCTATTAATACTGATTTCTTGTTTCTTTTTAGGTATGATTATGAAAATTGTGAGTCTGAAGGGGCAAATAAAATGATGCAGTACATTGAAACGACAATTCAGAAGCCTGAATTCGTTGGTTCAAAGTTGACATCTGGAAGCAAGACGTATGTTGTTAAATTAGCTGACAATTATTCCTACGTAGATCCTATTGATGGGAGCCAAGCCAGTAAACAGGTAGGTTATCATTTTTTAATGCAAACGCCTTATGTCGATGGAAACTTTTAATGCAACTTTGTTTCGATAGGGATTGCGAATACTGTTCGAAGATGGTTCCCGTATAATATACCGTCTGTCCGGTACTGGAAGTTCCGGTGCCACTATTCGTGTGTACGTTGATAGTTACGAAGATGATCCAACATCTTTCAAGAAAGATGCTCAAGAAGTTCTGAAAACATTAGTTGATATTGCACTAGAGTTAAGTAAATTGCGTGAATACACCGGACGCGATGCACCAACCGTAATCACGTAATGAGAAATAAATACTCGTTGTTGTTAACTTTTATTTTATTCGAAGTATACTCAGAAAGAAGTGAAATCGTTTTATAATGTATGTTACTTAAGGCACGAATATATTTCACGTTTCAGTTTAATATTTCGATTGCGGTTAATTAGTTTGCTATTTGTATCATATTAAACGAGACCGTCATACGCACACGTACAATGGAACGAAAACATGTTTGCATGAACGTACATTTTCTATCGAATACGACTAACCGCGTTGGTGCAAGTTGTCCGAATGTAAATGACTCACGATGGATTTTATAGCAACATTAAAAAGATTAATAGCGTATAATTGTTGAATGTCAAATAATTGGATAGAAACGTATTCAGTAACTTGAAGATTGAGCGGCAACCTATTTGGTACTTTCATATGAAAATGAAAAGTTTAGAATTCTGTTATAAACATCGAAACTCTGATATGGTTATTTATTACGGTTAAAATTCTATGAAACGAACATTTAGAGCCACGATTCTATACTCTACAATTCTAAGATCACGTGTTTTTGAGTGTGAAAGCATTGTCTGGAAAAGCTATTCAAGGATGCATAAAAGTGAAAGTAGTTTAACCCTTCGGTACTTGTACAAGGTTGTATAAACTTGTAAAAAAAGAAAAATATTTAATAATTTTTAAGTTGTACTTTTAAGTGATTTTTTACTTTGAAATTGTATACGCTGCGCGAGTAAAACAAGGAAAGTTGAGAGTATACAATTAACATCGGAATATTAATTATCGAAGGGTTAACAGAGAAGTGTAATTTCAATTGTAATTGAATGTTATAGCAATTGATCTTCCATTATGGTTAATTTGATGAATAATTCACTTCTCGAATGAAATAATGATTGATTATTGTAAAGTACACGCGAAGTTCGTCTCGCGGACTGAACGAGATTATTTTGAAACGTAAAACTATTGCTATCGAGTTGTTCGGTATATGCGAGAGAAATTTTCAAGTTTGAACTCAACGAGAAACGCTCCATTCAGAAACATGATCATACCTTGCATAAGTTGATTGCAATTGTTGTAAATAATTGTACAATACTTATCATTTCTGCCAAGATAACGAGAAAGGTACAGTTTAAACAGAACACATTGAAAAACATTTACTTTTTCAAAGTCCCAAATTATGAGAACGAAGTTACATGCATTTTTATATATTTTTAATACGAAAAAGATATATGTAGATATAACAGTGTACGAGAATTTAATCTGAGAAATAATATTTCAGTCGTTCCTTTGATTATTATTATTTCTGTTTTGTAGATAGTAATTTTGTTCGAATGAAAATTATTGGTAGCTGTTTATGTTATTTCTATATGTTTATTAATAACCGTTTTTAATATCGATTTCAAGTATTATATAATGTAATCACTTAATTTTATTTTCTAATCGTCTGTATAGTGTAAACAAACGTCATATACATATACTTTTCAATTCGTGATTTAATTGTAAAATGAGACATAAATTGATAAAGTAAAGAGAAAAAGAGAGAGTACGCGTAGGAAGTGTTGGTTCAAATTTCTTCAAATCGTAAATGATACATTTCAACGTCACGATTTAACGAAATTTGAAATTTCGAATATATTATAGCCTGAAAATTTTCATCGGTCAGATATTTAGCACATCGTCTACGCGTGTGTATTATACAATCTTGTATATAATTGACACAGCCGAATACGATATTAATAGAGCGACAATTAGATGTAAATCCACGTAATCATTTTCTTTTAGCGTAAATTCAGGTATCCGAGTAAACTGAAATAATTCTATAATTTCATGGAATGTGCTAAATATCTGAGTCAAATTAATTGATAGACTAGGGTACACTTAAAAAATTGTAGTTAAAAGAAAGGTCGTGAAAGTAGATTGACGAAAGTGGCTAAAAGAGTTAATCGGTGTTATTTGTACGTAGCAAAATCTATAATTGATAAACAAAATATCACAAAAAGAAAAAAAGAAGAAACAATTAAATTCTCATGGAAATCATAGGAAATGAAATTTCAAGGAAACTCTAATTTCTGTTCAGATATTTTATATTATATAATTTTCTCTTGACCAAGATATCCGGATACCTTCAGAAGTTCATCGTTCACTACACTTGCATTTATATTTCATGTCCACAGAAAATTGGAAACGCCGGCAGTGTGCAGCAGTAGATTCTTCGGGGAACGCAAAATGTACTTTTGTGAAGTCAGATTATGGAATTGTATCAATTGAGAAGTCGTGTAACTGTCAGTATATTTGTTTCGAGTACCACTGTGACTGCAGTACTTTTGAAAGAATTCAAGGGAAAACATTGTAAATAGTCGATGGAAGGGAGAATACTTGGGGACCTGAGCCGACACGACTCCCATTCAGTTTCTTCATTACACCATGAAAAGATATCAGAGAAAAAAGAAGTGAAATACTTTTGATTCTTTTCCTGGTATAATATGAACATTGCAATGCGGTAGTAGTGTCATAGAGACCAGCAATGACTGCCGACTTTAATATAAAACTATTAACATGTAACATTTGTATCATATTAAATACTAATTATTCATTATAGGTATATGAATGAATGGCTTTCACGAACACGTGATCGTAGCATCCATGTTTCAGTTGGAAATCAGAATTGTATGAAGTTCAAACATTGCAAACAGCTGGATTACGAAATTACATGCTTATCATTGAAAGTACAGAAAGTAATGCACACGTAACATGCACAATCTATGCTAAACGTTTCTAAATATACCATATCAGAGTCGTTTTGGACTACAATACATTTGATCTAGGTTCGGTTAATTATTCCCATGAGCGTTGTTGCAACGAGGCACATGTATTATTTATTGTTGAAGTAGCCAAATTTTTGTTTGATACGATACAATATGACGTCCTAAATTTTATTGGATCAGTGAAATGTAAATGTATTAGGATTCAGATACATTTGGAAGTTGCTAGTATATGGGTTGTAAGAATTTGAAGCGTAGTGAGAATACATCTAATAAATTGCATTTCAATTGAATGAAAAGAGAGAACTTTTTAATTTCTTTGCTCTGCGTAAGGAATTAAATAAGTCTATCGATTTCAGGAAGTAAAATAATTGAAAATGCATAATTCCCTTAAGGATGAAAACATGGACGAAGAATGTTCGAGCTTTTGTTCTTCTTGTAACTCCGTTTTGCAATCCATATGCAGCATCGGTGAACCATATTCTCCAGGTGAAATGCTCGATCGAATAACCGATGAAAATCATGTAAAAACCCCGGTCGAAAGTAATGGAAATATTATGAGAATCATTGATGCAACACACCAGAAAACAAGTAATTATACATCAAATGATAACTTCAAAAATAAAGTTTTTACAACAAACAGTCATAATACAATAAATAATCCATCTCCATCAAAACTTCATCTCAACAAACTGCACAAAAAACGAGAAACGATCGAGAAGGCTATTGATGAATCATGGTACTCTGCAAAGAAAATAAAGCACATCAAACTACTAGATAAACTTGACTTTTGTCCATTGGATACAGAGAAAAATAAGTCTAATGAGACTGCGAATATCAATTCTGGGAAAAATGGTTCTGAGACTAACGTAAATTCTGAGACTAAGACTGTAACAATAACAAATTTGATAAGAGAGAAGGAAGAAAACAGTAAAACGATTACTAACAGTTCTTTTGCACTAGATTTGATGTTCCCAGATAAATCTCAGAGTGTTGCTCAACATATTCTAGATCGTCGCAAAAATATATATAAATTTGCTCAATCAGTATTACAACTCAGGTCTGTATATAAAAAGAAATATATACGTATAGAAACATGTATCTTAAGTAATTAAGTGTTATTTCTTTTAGTAATTGTATCGACAATATGCGAAAAGTGATAATTCAAGAAGTAAATAAAAGAAAGTCTAATTTTCCATTGAGTAATACTGATACTGTTACAATTATGGCCAATCAAGATCTTCCTATGTATTGTTACCATTCATTATGTACGAAAAAGAAATAATTAAATTAAATCTAACGGGCGAGGATTTCTCAAAGGTTACGATTATAAACGGTATTAAATAAAATTGTCTTTTATAATCTTGTTAAAAGTGGTGTAAATATAAAATGTACAAAATGTGACTATTTTTGATTATGTATGTTTCGTTTACACCATATCAAAATCGTCCCTCTGTAACAAGAGAATATACATAATTAAAAAGTCTAGTAAATATAAATGCAATATATATATATTATATTAATATAATACTTACAAGATCATTGTACTCTAATACGTGTTTCTTAATAGCAGATGTATCCACCCAAGTAACGAAATCTTCCAAATTTCTGTAGTACGCATAAATTATTATTAATAATATTAATAACGATTTACTTGCATTGTTAATTATTTTATAATGTTATAATAATTGTTTACCTAGTTACTAAAAATGCTGGATCTTTTACAACTTCTGCACCTACTCTGACATGACCTTGTTCTATGAATTGTGTTGCCATTTTAATATTTTGACTCATCTTATTCCGTACCATAACAACTGGTAATCGTCTTCTACAAAAGGCAGTTGCATTCACCTTTTGCGTTAATGATAAATCCCATTTTGTTGGTATTAATCCCATCATATATAATTTTTCCAACAGTAGCGCACATTGTTCAATTCGAAAAGGGTGTTCTGCATCAATTTCTTTAAGTTTATTGCCTAATTCCCGAATATAACGTGCTAATTTCTTATACCTATTAAAATTGAAATTTTCAGTTTAAATATTCGTTCAAGTAATATACTTAATGAGTTTTTAATTAAGAAAATTTTGTCTTACTTTGCATAGTCTTCTCTTTTTTGTATTCGAAATCGTTTCAGAATTTTTACCTCCTTTAAATTATTGTCCACTTGCCATGATATGAAGTCAACTTTCTTTAATAACTTCTGCTCGTGATATTTTAATTTCCTCACCATTTTCGACGAAAATTTTTATCGCATGCGACGCGGAGCAAAATGTTTTGATTCTGTTTGGTAGTAAGATAGGTTAGAACGTGGTCAGAATGAGTGTATATATTGTATATAGATCATAAGTTTATTTTAATAACATAAAACTTTATAAACAACAGCAAAAATGTACAGTATAATTTAAAACGTGTTAATGGTGAATAATAATTTAATTTTACATGTGCATAGAAAATAGAGGGAAACGTTGAAATGAAAAAATTTATGTCTGTTTTAGAAACTTGAAGATTAGAAGTAAATAATAAATTACGTAAAGTACATAACTGCAATTTATAATGGAAGGAAAACAGAATAAAGCAGAACCAGGTGATGGTTTACGCTCTCTTAAAAGTACAATGTTTTTTCGTGCAGTAAATTATGAATTATATGTTAGACCGGTAAGGCTATATATTAAAATTATACTTCCAACTATTTATGCCTTTACTTATGAATACTTATCAATGATTTGCATTTTAGAATAAAGTGATAATGATTTTTGGAGCTGTAACAATATGTAGTTGTTTAGGATATATTTATTACATGCGCCAAAAATATGATAGTACACAATATTATCATGCAGTGACAGAAGATGGGTCGATTGTTTCAAAAAAGAAAGTATCAAAATGGATAGATTAAATAGGTAGAATAATAAATAATTTCATATAAAATAATGATCACATTGTAATATTGTTTATATATTACATTTTATTTTACAATTAGTAATTCATTGACTACCATTTCATGTGTACACATGTTAGAGATATGTAAATAAACATATATAACAATTATGTTGCATATTCTAACAAATATATTTGTATACAACACTATTTTTCAACATCCCCTGTTAAAGTATTCACTATAACATTCATCTAAACGTGTTATTACATGGTTATGCGTTTAATGTTCTATTGCAATACTTAAAAGTTTTGTAAATGCATGTTACAACTACAGTAATATCCTTTTGGTTACTTGATTCTCTTTACAAAAGTATACATTAGTTTATAAAATATAAATAGCATTCTGCACCACATTTGTTTCATATAAATACATAGAAAAGTAATTCTTGTCACTGCATATTCAAATTATCAACTTTGGCAGTATGTACAAGATCGTTTACAGTTTCATCCATCAGTAATTTTTATAAACACTTCAAGGTTGTGAATTTGGTCCAGATTTTTGAACGAGTAATGTTCTAAACTTACATGTCACAACAATTTTACTAAAAATATATATCTATATATGTTTGTATGTATGTATGTATATAGATACTCTGTAAATGTTATAAATGTATATAGTTTCTCTTTTGTGTTATGTATAAAGATTTAAAGTATTAGTATTATATAATATATGAATACATAAACTGAAACTCTGGAAAATAGAAAAGAAATTGATTGTACTTTTCCTATGCACTATGTGGAAGATTATATAGAACATTATTTTCATATATCACTCATTCACTATTAATTCGGATAGAAGATTTTGTATTTTTTTCATCTAACCAACGTATAAACTATTTTCTGGAAGCATCTAAAAAGAAAGAATGAAATTTCTTTTATAACATATCAAAAACATTTGCAGGTATATAAAAAAGTTTCTACTTTTGAATCAAAACTTTCTCTGCTAATTCGTTGAATTATATGTTCAATCTTCAAATAACTTTGCTGAAACTATGTATAGTACATTCAAATGTTGAATAATTAATTTTGTTCTTCTACATTGTGTGAAAGTAGAGTAATTGTTGTGTTACTTAGAAGAAGATATTGAACAGGAACTAACAACAACAATCGTTTGTAATCTCAACGTTTTGGAATCTCAACAGTGTCAAAATTCCAAGTTCTATTCCTTCACATGGAAACGATAAATCTTTAAAATCAATCGCTTATTATTAAAATAATTAAAGTTTTATCTCTTGTGCCCTATAATAAATCAATTACTTTCAGTTCTTCAGAATGTTGTTCATAGGATTATATTTACCTACATTAATGTATACATCCATGTAATGTATGTTGCATATTGTGTATGTTAAAAATATTATGGAATAAGAGACAGTTTATAAAGAGTAATAACTTGTAAATTTGCATTTAATCAAATGAATTTAGTAAATTTAAACAAATCAATTTTAATAATAAGCGATTCTACTAACGTATATATTAAAATTTGGCAATTCATAATACTTTATCACATTTTGTACTTTTGTAGATAAGGCAATTTGTAACAAAATGTTTTAATTTTTCGAAAAATCTAAGATTCGTGTTAATGTTTAAATTTTGTAGCTATAGTGTTTGCGTAAACAATATCTAGCTACAAGCATCTAAGAAAATTCAAAACAAATTATATTAAGATTCTATCAAAACAACATCTGTAGGAAACTTCTACAGTTCTAACATAACTCGAGTATGTATAAAATATTGCCATATTTCGATCATGCTTCCTGCATTAAAGATTCAATATTAATTATACTTAGTATGGTATGATTCTAAGAATCCATTTTAACATGTACAGCTTTTTTCATTTTGTGGAAATAGTACAACTGTTTCATAGATAGCGTTTGCGACATAATCCAAGTTTAATTCATTGAGTCCACACATGTTAATTCTACCACTTCGTAGCATGTAAATATGATAATGATTTACAAGATGTTCCACTTGTCTCTCTAAAAGAATATTCATTGTAGTAGATAGTACAGTATGAATTAAAATTAGTAGAATTGTCCTACTAAAATACCTACCAGTGAGACCAGTATAAGAAAACATTCCTATTTGATTTGTAATGTGTTCCCAAGAACCAGGTGTTCCTAACCGAACCAGTCTTTCGTATAAACTTTGGCGCATTTCTTTTATTCTACCAGACATTGTAGTAATATGACCATACCTGAAAAATTTCGATGTAACATAAGTAATAGATACAGTATCTTTCTCGTGTCCTGTTCTTTTAATGATTTCTATTGGACTAGAGTGTGTACCATTCTTTAAAGAGATCAGGATTTCGCAACACTGTTGCAACTATTCTTGCTCCATGATTAGGAGGATTACTATACATTCCTCGAACAATCAAGGTTAATTGAGATTTAACTTGAGCTGTTACTTTCACATCATTTATAACAACCACTAAATTTCCAACTCTTTCATTGTACAATCCAAAATTCTTAGCAAAACTCTGAGCACACATAAATTCTATTCCACGTTCAGCAAACATCCTTACTGCATAAGCATCTTTGTCTAAATTACCACTAGCAAAACCCTGAAAAAGATCTTGCTCAGATTACAAATTGTTTAGAATAGAAGTAAAAGCAAATTTAAAATTACTAACCTGGTATGCACTATCAAAAAGTGGATAGAGTTTCTTCTTCTGTATTAAATCTGCTATTCTAGACCATTGTTCAGGAGTTGGATCACATCCAGTAGGATTATGAGCACACGCATGTAGTATAATTACAGAATTTTCTGGAGCATCATCAAGATCTTTCATCATTGCTTCTATATCGATATTACGGGTAATAGGATTCCAGTATGTATATTCACAAGCTCTTTTAAATCCACCATTAATGAACACAAGTTTATGGTTTTCTGTGAAAATATTTTCTATTACATACTATTCAGTTTGGTGTATTATAGCTTTTACTACGTACCCCAAGTGGGTCTGCTATAATAAAATGTATCGTAATGTAGAATACGACTTAAGAATTCTGCAGCAACACGTAGTGCTCCAGTTCCAGACAATGTCTGAATAGCAATAGCACGACCTTGTGCAATAACAGGAGAATCTGTTCCCAGCAACATAGCTGTTGCTGCTTGGCTAAATGCATCTAATCCCAACACCGGAAGATATTCATGATTTTGTAATTCGTCCGCAGCTAGTGATTTCTCTACTTTCTTAACAACTGGTAACACCCAGGGCTTTCCCTCCGGTGTACGATACGCTGAAAATAATTTTAAATAATTACAATTTTTTTGTAACATTGTTCAATTATCGTAAATACGTGTTAACATCATTTTACAATTATTCAATGATAATTTTACATCAAAACGATAAGAATCCTTCCATGTATTAAGTTATGTAATCACCAGATATTTCTGGAGGTCATTCAATATCACTTTCATTTATAAATAATTCAAACAAGCAATATGATAAATTCTATAGCATATTAATTGTTGCATTGCTTGGCATTTTTTCGTTAATTTTTCTTGATTATTTAAAAAAAGCTTGTGCCAATCGTTTGCGTGCCTGTGTTATAAATATACGTAATAAAATGAAAGATGTTTTTATAAGTACCTCCTATTGATAAATTTACTTTCTTTTCGTACGTATCGTCGAGAAAGGCTTTCTGAAGGGCGAAAACCTCTATTGGTGGTCCTAATTTAACTCCACTATATCTCGAAGTCATCTTCGGTACTTTTAAATATCAAATAGTAAGCAACCGTGCAGCCGATAGTTTAAACTAGTAGAAGATCTGATCGCACTGTATCATATGAAACAAGAATACATTTATAAATCCCCCGGTAATCACTGTGCCACGTATATTTTGATTATCAGTATTAGATACTAGTGTCGACAAGACTTTTCTATCCACATATTATCACTGGATTGATGCGAAAGACTTGTCGGCCGATGCATCATACATTCAACTTTAGCTGATTTGATCAGTTTAAATGAAGTTCATATGTGTGAGTGTATGACACGTTTTATGCTTGCTATGTATGCTACTTAAATTGCAACATGTGCCAGAGATTCATTTTTTTCATATAATTAAATGCACACCGAGATCGATGAACGACATGATCCAATATAAAACTAACATTTATTCATCCTCGTAATTACACGCTAAAAATATATCCTTCTACTTTCTAATATAAAATAAGAATATTTTGCAACATATAAATCGAAACGCGTACAGAAATTATTAATATATTCGTACATATTCACAAATTATTCCTTTAATCAAAGCTAATAACAATTCCATTGGAACAACAAATATTTTTTCAACCGCATTCGGTGAAATTACAAATTTATCAATGTTAATGGAATTTTTGAAATTTCTGTTTTATCGACTGCAGCGTCTATAGATTTACGAGAATGTCTAACAGAGTGCGCGCGCACGCGTAAACATAACAGTTACCGCGCTGCTCTGAGGGACGCTCAGGATTCCAGAACACTTTAGTCGAATGTGAGACAGCGGTGTGTTCGTATCGTGTAACGTTTATTGTGTCAATTATTGTTATTCTTTCTCCTGTTGTTTATTCTACGTGTTGCACGCACATACACTTTCGGATTACAACGAGGTACGTCATCGCAAAGTGAGTACCATCGATAAACAATATTTCTTCTGTGCGTCAACGGGATGCTGTATACTCTTGCAACGCTTCAGATTTTTTTTTAAATCAAGCATCGTTCGTTGCTTTCACTGTATTTTACAATGTAAAAAGACTCGATAATCTACCGAAAGACGATTGACAAAATAATGTTAGGGGAGGGTAAATAATTGCGATTTGAAACGGTTACGCGATCGAAGCGTTTACGAGGTTCACTTTATTATACATCTCGCGGCGATTGAAACGAGATCAAATCCTTGTTTCACGAGTAACGTGGCTTGGGTTATTTTGTAAACGGGCACGACAGTGGAAATCGTTCTGAAACACCGCCAAGCCCTGCCGATCATTTATATTCGTTTTCATGAAACGGATGATGATCTCGTTGCTTTATTTAGTATCCTAAGCGATCTACGTAAGAGACGCGATTATCCTCCAGGTTCCCGTACCTCTTTCTTCACTGAAAATCGAGATAATCGATCAACAGGTTCCTGCCTTTCCTCTCACCGCCGTACAAACAGGTGTGTCGGCTGGTAAAAATAGATCAAGGGAAGCAAATTTCAGTGCTAATTTTCTTATCCAATTTCAGTGAAAACTTATTTCCTCGTTACTCGTTAATTAATTTATAACATACAGACATAATTTCGATACGAATTTTAACGGTACTATCACTGAAATTCATTGAATCTTTTATTAATCGAATCTAGGGTAGTCATATTTTTAATTATTGTTTCACACTTTACCTCTCAGTTTGTAAATAATATATTTCTGTAGTAAACATGATTCATAAACAGCGGTGGAACAGAAAGACGAAGTCGCGTGAGAAACGTCTCGAATTAACATATGTATAAGTACTTTGTACTGTATCAGCGGTAAAGATTCGACTCTGACAAGTAACGTGGGACGTGAATGGCAGGAAACGTCGGTAAAAACGGATATTTCGCCCGCATGGCTTCAGTCGAGACTATCATTCTCAATGAACGCAGTTATCTTATTGGCGATTGCTTTAGCTCGGACCGGGGCCTGAATGATTCGTGCCGTTCAGCCCATATGGCGGCTGGCCCAGGACCGGCAACAATCATTCGAGTACCGTTATACTACCGACATGTGATATGTTATTGTTGCGTATATAGGGTGACCGAAAATTTGGCGCGATACGGCAACGAACCCGCATGACCTGACCCAGTCCCGACTCGAATAAGGCAAGTCGAAAGTCGACATTTTTGCACTAGGAATATTCATCATTTCCTCCTGGGATATAAACATTTTTCAAAACGGCTCTCTTTTTAAATATTTTATTTCAATGTTTCACGTATCGATACAAGTCGATGATTTGCTACATCGAATCGTCCGGTGACAAAGTAGCTTTCCGAGTTCGAAGGGTTAAGTTACACGGTTGTGATACGCAGTAAACGGTGACACGTTCACATACGAAATTTGCACGAATTCCAGCGAAGGCTCATTGCGACCGGCCTTGCCGTTACTCGGCGTCGTTCCTGTTCGCGAATGCCGCATGTCATTCTAGGAAAATCCAGTCAGCAAGCTACGCTCCATATAATTACGTTTAATACCGCGTTTGCATTTTGCGTGGCGATCAACGGTTCCGTTCTTCCGACAAAACTGAAACGGCGAGCGATCTTTCGAAAGTCCTCGATAGCGCAGTAATTTCAACGCTCGAAACAGTGGCCGCCATTGTTGATTATTTGACAAGCGTTTCGCGACACAGGTGTTCGATTATCGATTGCAAAATCGAACGGTTTTCGAAAACGCAGCCATATTGCTTGTTCAACCGGAAATCGAACCCGGATTTTTCAGTTCAATCGCTGTCGGCATTTCGATTCCTTTTTTGGAAATTTTAAAGTGAAATTTTACCAGAATCCGTGTGTGCTTTCTTATTCATCGTTTTATGAATTGGACAGTTGGTTGGCTTAATGAGTGGCAATTGAAAATGTCGTTCAAGGGCGCAGGAGACAGCGAATGAAGTTTTTCATTGAGAAGATCAATGAACCTTTATTAATTGGTAGCCAGTTTCAACGTAACGAGGTAACGGTCTAAATAATTTCCTCTCTCATGCTCGATTGTTCTTCGGCACTGACACTTTTCCTTTCTTTTATTTCGTGCAATAAGCATATGCAAGCTGTCCCACGTGCTCGACACGAGGACTTTTGTTTGCTCATTGTTCGGGATCTTGATGGCGAGGGGTCATTTGAATTTTTGTTGAATCGATAAAAGGATGGCTGCGAAGGAAATAGAAAAGAAAACGCTCGAGGACGTATGCTTGATGGAATAGTAGAGTTGGGGGACTCGCAGTCGCACTCATTTCGCCATTGTTCTTTCGTTTCCCGCCTAATCTGTCGCCATCTCCATTTTAGACCGGAAGTTGGAATAGTTGCGCAATAGCTTTTTGTTTCAACAATTTTACGAATTTTTATTTCAGATCTCAGAAACTTCCTAATTATTAGACACCATATTTATAGATTAATTTATATTCTATGATAAAATATTTCAAATATTATTTCACTGAATATTTAATTCTTTAATTTCCCATCGTTATGAATGTTTATTTCCGATCTCAGAAACTTCCTAATTATTAGACACCATATTCATAGATTAATTTATATTCCATGATAAAATATTTGAGATATTACTTCACTGAATATTTTCTTTTAATTTCCCATCGTCTCCGTGCGTTTCCAGTACAACAGTGGACACGAAGGTTAATTATTATGTCGAAATAATTGACAGATCCTCGGATACGTGTCGCACGCGACTTTCTTCCCCGAAACGGATGAATCCGATTTTTTTCGCGGGAAAATCGCTGACGCGACGCGGAGGTTATGTCGAGGCAAAATTACGGAAGACAAATACCCAGGACGGTAGCGTCTAATTAACTCATTGTGTTCGTCAGTCGCGTGTGCACGGTTGTCCAGCGATTCTTACCGTTCGTGCATATTCTCCGGACGCAATTCGCAAGAATCACTGTGTACAGACGTTCAGATGATTCGTGCCGAAGAATCATATGGGGTGTACATATGGTTAAATTACTCGAAGAAAAGTGTCTAATTAACTTGTTACGTTCGTTAGCAGAGCATGTATGACAGACCAGTGATTCTTACCGCTCGGACCATGTATATTGTCCGGTTATCATCCGCAAGAATTACTGTACCTTTTGTACAGCGGCCCAATTAATTCGTGCCGCGGAACCGTGCACTTTCTACGCACCAGCGGCACGATTCATTTCGCGCATACGTGATTGAATTATTAGGAAAAAGATGTTTAACCTTTGCACTCGGAAGTTTCTCTACAAATATTTAACATTTCTTGACGAGACAAAGACGATATTTGAAACAATATCAATGTTAAAATTTAATAGTAAATATCAGGTTTTATAGTTTCACTGTCAGATCAAATGGTGACAGTCACCTCCTGAGTGCGAAGTTAGTTAATTAATTAATTTATCAATCGCTTATGCGTGACAGTTTAATGACTCTTACCATTGAAATGATACATTCCTAGTCCAGAAGTACCGTATCAATCTGCACTGATTAATTATTAATTAATACCGTTGGAACGGTACAGTTTCCACGCGACACCGGCAACAATGAAATGTACTATCTCGAATGAAAGTAAAATGTATATTTCTGTTTAGCCTCTTGACTTGTTTAGCGTAGGAGCGCGTCGCGATTCGTGTCACCCAGTTTTCAGTTAGTTAATCGACTGATGCTGTTCGCCGTGCAAAGCGAATATCTAGGTCATCGCACAAGCCTCGCGTTACCAGCCGCGTGACGTGATTCTAGCGAAAAAATTGAAAGGCTTTTTGCATTCTTCGGGAGTAACGAGGAATAAGAATCCTTGCGGCGCGCGTAACTCGCGTTGCTCGCACGCGAACCGCACGGAAATAGTAGATGGATCGATGATGCAGCTCGGCGACACTTTACTGCGGATCTGCGTGCTCCGGAATATGCATTCCTTGCGGTCAAAAATGTCTTCTTGTTTTTATCTTCTTCTCGGAGGAAAATACAGCTTGAGGTCTCGTCGAAAGATGATCCGAGGACACTGGAGGATCTAGATCTTAGACTACCTCGGTGTAATTAATGTCTGCTTAATGACTAGTCGAAGCAGTGGTTCATTTTCTTTAAATAGAAAGAATGATGAGTTTGTCTTCTTGTTATCTCCGAGAAAAATAAAGCTCGAAAGATGATTCGAAGAAGACACTGGAGGATCTAGATTTAACAAACTACCTCGGAGTAATTAATGTCTGCTTAATGACTAGTCGAAGCAGTAATTCATTTTCTTTAGATAGAAAGAAACGCGACTTTATATTTTGTTAATGGTAATATTGATATTAACAATTGAATCGTTTTGATACTTTATTGAACACGTATATTATTTAACAATATCTTCGAACAGGTGAATAAGTTACACTAGTTTCCAATGCGCGATAGCTACAGGGAAGTCTATTAATAAGCTGCTGCCAAAGAAACCGTTGACGAAAGAAACAAAGTGGAAGCATGATTCTGTAAACAGACCGAGTAAAAAAACGTTATCGTTGAAATGTCAACATGTCTACGTAATCATTGTATAAGTCTCTACTGAAAACGGGTTTGAGAGCATAATTAAACTTGTCGATCAAGTCAACCCTTCGGAGTCCTATATAGAGACAAATAAAACATTCAATCCCAATGGTTACGTACTTCACTAATTTCTACTGTAATTACTATAATTAACATGTAAAGCTAGCACAGATCGCAACAATACATTCTCCTTCGATTTCTTCAGATAGACATTACTTTCAAAATCATTCCAGATATCGAATACTTCAAAAACATCAATAATTGCTAAATAAGGAAACTACAACCCGCCATTTTGTCGGTCACAGTTCTATCGCCAATGCAAACTCAAAGATACATGGCGAACCAAAAATCTGTCAAAGATCGAGCATTTTCCAAATTCCATTTCACGCGATTCCGTCGCAGATAATTCCCATTTCCTGGTAAACACCAGCTGTGAACGCATCGTGAAACCCGTTCCGTTGGCACGACGCGAATTCGCCGCAGCGCGCAGAGAATGTTGCGCGATACAATTTTTATGGAGCATTTCCTGTCCTCTAATGAGCGACGTCGAGAGCCGACTTCCTCATTTTTACTTATCGGGTGTCCGTGGCCCGCTCGCTCCTTTTTTCCCTCGGACGCATGATTCGCTCGCTACATCTCAACTTGCACTGCGTCACGCTGGAATTTTCTGTTTGGGCAACGTCTGAAATCCTCCGTCATCGAATCATTCGCTTTTTTATCGCTTCCGCGCCGTGTTTTCGACATTCTGAGGCATTTGCGATGGTTCTGACGCCGGCGATCCTTGAATTTCTCGCGGTGAACGCTGTCTCTTTCACTTTGACGATTTGCAGGAAAATTGCAGGCTTTCATTAACCTTTTTATATGCTTTCATTAATCCTTGGAATTCTCGAGGTACTCGCGATTCAATGTTTTCGTGAATTTTCGTAGTAGCGACCAGTGAAGCTTCTGAATCCTTGCGATCTTTGCAACCTTTGAAACTTCAGAATCCTTGCGATCTTTGCAAATTCCCGGTTCACATGGCCATTGGACATTACTAATTTCGGTAACGTTGATAATGGCGTCGATAATAACGTTCATAATGATAATTATGATATTCCAGTAATACTTCAATAATTACATTCATAACAAATAATACTACTATCGTAACACAATTATTCGTTATTGCGTTACAATTCCAATAACACCTCATTATTAACAATAACACAGTCAACCAGCGACAATTTCCATCAGTCCCAGCGACAAATGAAATCCAATCCCCGAGTGGCACCTGCCGAACCACGCAGTCGAGTGTCCGGTGCATCCGTTCTTGCAATCAGCGTCTCGCCTTGCGGCCGCTTCACGCTGAAATTGCATCCATTCGAAAGCGCGCTCGAAACGGGCTCGCCGGTTTCGTTTCCGAACGGGAGTCGAACTTATTCACCGGATAATCACAAGCCTGCCACCGGCATGATTTTTTCTTACATAACCGTGCGGGGCAGATAGAAGTGAAAGCACCCGACGCGAAAAACGAACGAACGCCGGCGCGGACCTATCATTTTTCCTTCGCCGACCGTGTAATCTTTTTTTCTTTCCATCGGACAACGCGATACGCGAATTGCACGAGCATCGTGGACACACTTATATCACCGGCAATTTCTACATTCGCCAGAAATAATCCCAATCGACCGAATAACCGTTACCAAACGCTAAGCTCGCTCGCTTCCTGCAGCGTTTCCCGCCTTTCGCGACGAAACGAAAATTCCCGCTGCAATGGGAGCTTCGGAGATATTTCAGACGAGAGTTTGCATTGCCATTTGTCGAAGTGATGATTGCAATGATTTCAGAGGGACTCGAGATTTCATTGACAATGAGGTTTATTTCAGGATTCTTTGGATATTTCCCACTTTTCAGTTTTATGCACAATTTGCCGAAGTAACGATAGAGTAATGATTTCAAGGGGACTCGAGATTTCATTGACAATGAGGTTTACTTCGGGATTCTTTGGATATTTCCCACTTTTCAGTTTTATGCACAATACCAAGGTTTCTAAGCTTTTTAACCCCTTGAACTCTAGGCTCCAATGTTGCAGCAGTTATAACATTAAATATTTTAATGAATCTTAAAGAAACTATCCTTCTCGCAGCATTTATTCCAGAATCCCGAATCAATTTCTCACGACACCCGCAGCTGCGTCTCGGTCGAGCGACAATTGCGCGATAGATAAAAGTTGACCGCAGCGTTTCATCGCGAAACTCGCCCCACATCCTGTGCACGACGTGCATGTGCGTGTGCCGTTGCACCCTGAAACACCTCCCACCCCTGCCCCGTAAACGAATTAACTCCCTTTTAGGTCGAAGTCGATGGGGTCCGTCCCCTTCTCGCCGCCGACGTCGTCGACGTTGTCGCGCAGCTCTATTTTGCGATCCTTTTTCAACGGCTAACAGGATTACCGGCGTTCGCAGCGTGTCTTCTCTTTTTACGCCCCGTAACGCCGAAAACTCGCGTCGAACGCGTTCATTGTGAGGGCAGGTTCAGGTGTACCGTACACTCTGGATGTTACTGTTTCAAACAATGTCGCCTGTGTCTCATCGGAAAACGTTGGGTATTTCCAGTGGAAATCTTTCCAGTACAAAGGGTTGAATACGCGATGGGAGATGGTAGAAGGTAACAATAGAACAAACGGCGGAATAAAAGATGAAATGAATGAACTAAACAGCTGAGTAACTAACCCTTTGCACTCGAAAGTTGCCTGGTGATATTCAACATTTTCCAACGAGATACAGTCAACGTCGTTTGAAACTAATTCGACGATAATTCACAGATAAATTAAACAAAGCTATTTTATCTCAATATTTCACGTTGCAACAGAAAGTTTCATTTGAAATACTAAATATTCACTTCATAATTTTGCAGTGTCGATGACTCACTTCTAGAGTGCAAAGGGTTACACCCTCGAAACCAGTTCGATGCGAGACTTTATACGCGTCACTCAGCCGACTCAATTTACATCGCGGCAACCGAATTATCTCGATGCACCGGAATTAGATGAAAGTTGGGATACAGCGACGAGAGCCGTTGTTTAATTATCGCAGACGAATCCGTGTCGCGCGGCCTTATCAGTAATCCCCAGCAGCGATAAGGAAAATTACGATGCGTCCGACGCTATCTTGTCCAGCGGGCGCAGTCATAGTAGCCGATAAGATAAGCGTTTCGACCCGAACGACGATACGAACACGTAAAACAGAAAATAGTTAGGGAAAAACTGATAGTTGAAACTTGGAATCAACATTTTTCGTAGATTTCTTAGACATTCCACTTCGATATCGGTGGAAGTCACTATTAACCCTTCGCCCTTTGTGAGGTGAAATGAGATTTCGAAGACTAAGTCGTGGAATGATCTAATTAGTCTTACTTTCTTTTTCTATCAATCAATTAATATAGATTTTAAGGGTTAACCCCTTGACCTATGATTTCTTTCTCAACTCTCATCGATACGCTACTCTGTCATTAATAATTTATTGGAAAAAGTTTATTAAAAAGTAATTTATATTTCTTTTTAAGTATAACCGTTGATTACAGAGGAATAATATTTACTTTGAATAATGAACTAATATATATGAGTGACTTAATAACGCCAACAGAAAATCGATCAATTCATATCATCGATAGGATCAACGATAGACTAATCATTCAAATTTATTCTTTCGCTCTTAATTTCTGTTCGATGGAAGAGTATCCTACGTTCGAGCAATTGAAAATCGGATTTCAGGACAAGAAAATCGACCAATTCATATCATCGTTATGATCAACGATAGACTAATCATTCAAATTTATTCTTTTCGCTCTTAATTTCTGTTCGATGGAAGAGTATCCTACGTTCGAGCGATTGAAAATCGGATTTCAGGACATCGACATCGAAATGAAACGGACGAGGCGCGAGTTGCGCAAGAAAACGGTTTACTTAATGAACGATCAATCGTAATAGACTCGCCCCGCGCGGCTGCCGCCTAATTATACAGTTTAATTGACGAACAGAACGAAAGCATCGCCCGGTGACCAACATACCCGCAGATTACGAAGTCTCCTCCATTCACCGTCGACGCCGGGTTATACAATCCTTTAGTTTGTTCTCGGTCGCGGTGAGTAACGGGCTCACGTGTAAGCGCTGCGTCTAGGTCGTTCGCGTTTCTTGCGGGTCTTCCGCGATACTTGCGCCTTCGATCTTTGAACCCTTGGGAAGACGAGCCTCAAGACGGCTCTACATCCGTGATTTTCGACCGTCCGCCTTGCAACTAGTCACGTTCGCCCAGGCGAAGGGAAACTTTGATCGAACTCGATAAATCTGGTAGGTGGTTTGCTAATTGGAAAGTGCGAATGGTATTTCAGGTATTATGCGTGTTTAATTATCTGGAAATTCGGGGACGGCTTGGTAACTAGGCGAGCTGATCAGCTGGAATTTGGCGGTTTCAGGATTTGCACGGTTTGTGGTGGGGTAATCAGGTAATTCTGTCGTTTGGGGATCTGGGAATTTGGGAGTTTGAAGATTGGAGGGCTTGTGATTTGGTAATTAATTCGGGTGTTTAATGCTTTGGGAATTTGGGAATTTGGTTGTTTGAGGGTTTGGAAGGTTTGTGATTTGGGAATTGGGTAATCCAGTCATTTAGAAATTTGGTCATTTGGTAGTTCGAAGATTAAGAGGTTTCGTGATTTGGTGATCCAGTGATTTAAAAATTTAGAAATTTGGTCATTTGGTAGTTCGAAGATTAAGAGGTTTCGTGATTTGGTGATCCAGTGATTTAAAAATTTAGAAATTTGGTCATTTGGTAATTTAAAGACTTTGAGGTTTTGTGATTTGGTAATTAGGTAATCCAGTCATTTAAAAATTTAGAAATTTAATCATTTGAAGACTTGACCAGTCCGCTTGACTGTAACGCTAACTTCCAAACCGACCCGCACACCCAGCAAACATGTATAAATACCTTTTATCCGTGATCTGGCGATCGTAGATCGTTACGCGCGTGCACAGAGTACGTTCTCAGGCACAGCGACGCACATCTTTCTTCCTTATCCGTCTCTCGGCACACGCGGAATACGCATTGCTCTTTAATTCCGACGTGGCTCGAGTTTTACATTCATTAAGGTACGTTTAATGACGGGCCGCGTGCTCGCCGGAGGCTTCCTTTGTCGACTTTCACGTGAAAAATCGCGTCGCGAGCCATTGTTGGCGAAACGAAGTCCCCTCAAAATGGAGAACAAACAGAAATCGAGGGAAAGGAAAACGAAACTGAAACCAACGCACGCGGAAGAATCATTCGAAAATCGAAATTTATCTCTCTAAAGATTATCGATTATTTTCTATGATCAATCATTGAGAAACTATCACTGGAAGACGATAGACAATTTATACTTCAACGAATCATTTTCCATATATCGAGATGTCGGCAAAGTTTGCAAATGGAGAATGGAATTCCGTTTCGATACGCATAAGGGGAACAATTGAAATTTTTCTTTTGTCATAAACGCACGATGGACTTCGATCGGTTTCACGCCGACATTCAAAACGTACAGCTTTTATCATCACCTTTCGTTCGAGCAGTCTGTGTAGCGTACTGTGACAATCGTTCCGTGAATCGTCGCATTCTTTCATCGCAGTTGCAATCAGAACTTCGGAATGCGCGATGCAATTCACCGGAGACGATCGGCAACTCGATGCTTATTCTTTCGACGAGTGTTCTGAAGTTGCAGTTTTTTTCACTGTGATATTCGTTTATGGTCTACATAAATGATATATTCTGCTTAGATATTCTGATTAGAAGATTCATTGAACCGAAGAAAATATAATTCAAACCGTCATTGAAATAAGCGCTGGTACCAATAGCAAAGAGAACTTGACGTTACGTTTGCATTACACTGTCGACTTAATTACGTGAAACATTTCCATTTCACGTCGGTTACCTTGTATGTTACAATTGTTCTTGTAAAGAAATTGAATTTCGAGGTTGATGAGAATTCATTGAATTACCAATTAAACGAAACGCTTGCGCGGTTCCACGCTCGCGGAGCGCATGGAAGTTTAGCGACCGCTCGCGAGTACGTTTAGCACAGATACCACCGGAAGAATTCATTCAACGCATTCTCCACGGTACCATCTATTTACCAAGGGAAATGGAACGAGCTGTTTGGTGGGATCTTACCACAGCACCCTGCGCAATTCGATGTTGTAATTACGAAAGGTAGATTGGAACCATTGTGTGTGTTAACTTTGGAGTTGGCTCGAATCTGAATTTTAATTTTGTTTAGTAATTAGGTGTAAGGTGGTTTGGTATTTTGGTTGTTTGATTATTTGATAGTTTGGTAATTTGGTAACTTGGTAATTTGGTAACTTGGTAATTTGGTGATTTGGTAATTTGATATTTTGATATTTTGATATTTTGATATTTTGGTCATTTGGTAATTTGGTGATTTGGTGATTTGGTAATTTGATATATTGATATTTTGATAATTTGGTCATTTGATCGTTTGATCATTTGATCAATTTACCATTTGATAATTTGCTAATTCAATGCTTGAACAACACGCCAGTCAATCTGCGAACAGAATAAGAAATCCTTACTAGAAACAAATCAATTTCCCGAGAACATCGAACGACCGGTCGATGCATCCGCGCAAGCGAAAGACGCAGGAATGCACGTGACCCTTTAGAATCCCCTTTTCCGTCCTTGCATTCCCGTTCCACGGATACGAAGTTAACACCGTTAGCCCGTCCGTGCGTGCGTGCTCGCCCTACGACTCTCCTTTGCTTCTCCTTACGAAACTCGGACCATTAGAGGAGAGCCCCGGTAGTTCCACGCACGGGAGACCCGTCCGTGCCCTAGACGATCATTACAGTCAGTGATCTCGTGGAACCGCATTGTCGTAGGCGTGCCACTCCTCGAATTTATGAAATATTTTAATGAATCTTAAAGAAACCACCCTAAAATTATTCGATACAAATTTCGCACTAAAATAAAAGATCGAAGAAATGTCATAGCATTTATAATTTTAGGAATACTATAAAAATTAGTTACAGTTGCTAGATTACAAAACAACCTGGAGTGCTTAAAGGTAACATTTCAATGACTCCCAAATATTCTTGAATAAATGAATGCGTCATTTAAGCTGCAATTGAATGAACGTCGACGTGAACTTCAAACTGAGAAACCAACAGCACTTCAAACCGCAAAGGGTTAAGGGTTAACAACCGACCCAGTAGCGAAGCAGTACCGCACTCCAGCCCCAGAATACCGATTTCACCCGTCAACCTTCGAAATTCGCGGTTCTATCGCTCGAGATTCCAATAAATCTTCGCGCGCGAGTGGACGAGCGTGGTAATTCGATAAGCCCGGTCGATTAAGCGGAATTAATCATTCGCCGTTCGCGACGGGAGCAGCGTCGCGTTCTCTGAGTCAGTGATCGTCCGGCGGTCACGTTTTTTGCCTCGAATGACTCTCCGACATCTCATGAATCACGGACACCGGCGTTAAATAAATCGCGATCGTGCGTCGAGTGACTCGCTCGACCGGAAGCGGCGAGGACGATAATTTCGCCGTTGATTATTCGGCTATCCCGTGCTCGCGGAAGCGTTCTCGATCGATCGGATGGCCGAGCTATCTCCTCGGATTAACGGTGGACCCGATTAATCGGCGCGGGTTACACGATAAGAGGATAGTCTCCTGTCGAATCGGCGATAAACCGTCTCCGTGGACGGATAAGGGAATCAGTTCTCCTGAAACTGACCTATAGTATGATCCCGTTTCAATGTTATTCTGAAAGCGGATCTTTAAGGGATCGTTACGAAGGGAAGATCTTGCTACGCATTCGCTTTCGAGAGAAATTCCGTTGATTCGGGAGATCTCGGAGACGATCGAGACGATCGAAGAAGCATCGTAAGACGAAACGGTTTGCTAGCTGCGAAAGTAGAAGCTTCTAGCTTGAAAACGATTGCACAAAGAATATCGAGCGACAGTTTATCGAGAAGTTACAGAGGTTCAAAGGTGGACGATCTCTCGATCGCAATTCGCCGACTTTTCAAGTCTCTCGTTAGGAGAAAAAATACTTGCAACGCAGTAAGCGTTGATATTACTTGGCAAACAGATTTGCCAACATGTCGGCGAGCAAATACGCTCGTCGATCCCGGTCCATTCATCGCGACCGATGCAAACAAAGGAAAATGGACGTCGAGATTCGCGCGGATCCGTCGAAGGCTGCTCGCTTCTGGCGGTTCGGATCGAGGAAAGAATGTCGAGTGGTGCTTGAAATTCGCTCCACATACGCCGACGTCTTCCTCGAGCTATTTCCCAGTGGCTCCCTAAAAAAGGCTTTGATCCTACGTGACCTACGAGCCAGCGTTTTATAATGTTCAGCCGGGATGATGTGTGCGTGAGAACGAGCCGCTTGTCCCTGGCGCGCGGCAACACTCACAGCCGGAAATAAGCTGTAATTCGTCGCGTGTTAACCGCGGAGGGATTAATCGCGACCGCGATCGGTATCGACCGGCCGATATTCACCGGTTAACTTTGTTTCATGAGTACGCTCGCGTTGTTTACAGGTGCACGCTTATCAAAGAGTTCGCGACAGGTTCTTAATCTTTTGCAAATCAAGTTTACTTTATTCAGTCATTCAACGATGTAACCGTTTAGAATCATCGACAGCGCGGTTTCCTATTTTCCACATTTTCTCGGATCTTATCTATTAGTGGATTATAATATGAAACTTTCGTTTGGAACATGTCATTAAGTTTAATTAAGATGTTTGGGATGTTAATGAGATATTAATGTAGTTTCTTTTAGAATGCTGTGTTTAGATTTTTGTTCGAAAACTTCGTTGACACTAGAACTACCAGTCAAAATGACTGGTTTCGATTCTTTTGTTTAGCAATTATTGATATTTCCGAGGCATTGAATATTCGAAATGATTTTGAAAATATCATTTGAGTACTATAATGAATGTCTGAAGAAGCTGAAAATAATCTATTGTTACAATTTCTATGGGAATTGCGTATTAATCGCATTAAATGCTCGGTAGTTCTAGTGTTAACGCGTCGATTGAAGTATCGAGAAATTACTGCTAATTGATAGTCGGTCAATTGGAATTTGTCGAATGTTAAGGAGATAGCTCATCCTTCAAAGAGTGTTGTTGATGTATCGCACACGGTGACACAAGTGTTCCTTATCGCCGATTTCCGGGCGTTTGCTTTTCACCTGTTTTATCAATGCCTCGCCTCGAGCGTATCGCTGGTTAAATTTACACGTGACCTTTCACGCGTGCTCTTGTCAATCGAATTTGAATCGTTACCCAACGCGCCTCGCGCGTTATTCAATCGCATTCTAGATTACCAGCCCGTATCTGTAGTGTTCACGCGTTATTACTCGCGTTACTGCAACAATAATACAGATAATTAAAAAACGATGAAGACACTTCAAACGAGATAATTCAGAGATAACTCGACTTCCTCGGAGAATTAATTACCGATTGCGCGAACGATCATTAGCGAACGATCATCTTAACGTAATTTCAACCCCATTAACGCTAGAACTTCCGAGCATTTAATGCGATTCATACGAAATCCCCATAAGAATTGTAACAATAGATTATTCTCAGTTTCTTGAGACATTCATTATAGTATTCAAATGATTCTCAAGATCATTTCCACATTCAATGCAAAGATATCAAATTCAAAGTAAATTAATCAATTATTAATTTTTCTTTTCCAAGAAGTTAATGACGAAGTAATCGAATCAGAGTCGAGAAAGAAATCACTGAACATTATTCTATCGAATATCATTACATTTATTACATTGTCTTATTTTATCCCTCAACGCGTTCACCATAAAGAACACTAATATACTATTTATTTACAAACAGAAATTCCCGATCGATCAATCGAACGCACATCGTCCGTCGGAATAGATTACGAGAAATTATTCTAATCGGAAATGACTCGAATCGCGCGATTCCGATTTTTCTAGAAGACTCGACGCGGTCGCAGGCTTCGGCCGCGATGAGCTTTCTATTCGTTGAATTGAAGACGACGATCCGGAAGCGGTAATCATCCGTCGTCGGTCGCATGCAATTTTTACCGGGCCCCAACCGCGTGACGCGCAGCGTTTCAAATATTCAACGACCCCCTGGATATATCAAAGAGAAATCTATCAAACTCGTTACGATTATAAAGAAATTCACGGTCCGCCGGTCACACGAAGTTGTGCAACGCGGGGACAGTTTTCCACGCAGAAACCGCTCCGGGTTTCCTCGTTTCGCAATTACCGCTGGAATTCATTATTCTCGCCATTAAACGATACCATTGTCATCCCTCCCGTTCAACTGGAACAAGGGAGAAGTGTTCCCGAAGGGAAATATCCTCGAAAAACGCAGCGATCATCATAGAAATCGCGCCGTTCAGACGAAGTTCGCTGATATGTAATCCCTATAAACGTTTTAATAATAAATTATTCCCGGTGTCTTTAGGCATTCGTTGTAGCATACGGATGGAACTATTCTAAAATCGTTTCGAACGTTCAATGCTCTCGAGATATCGGCAATTGCGAAACGAGCAAGCCGAAACCGGTCGTTTTCACTGGTACGGTAGTTCCAGTGTTGAATCAACTCGTTCCATAAATCTATGCACCGTTAAGCGAGATTTCCCCGCGATCTTAATTCCAAAACACGACTAGACCTCTCGGCTGATCTGATATACTTTCCTTTCCGGTCACATCTGTATCGCAGCTGCGTGCGATTACTTTCATCGGCCGCGTCGCACAAGGGCAATCGGTGACTCGCGGCGTCCGAGACAAAAACCGACGCGAACTGCGCGTTTTTCGCGTCCCTCCGCGATACGAGACCGTATCGGCCGGTTTCCTTTCTCCGCCGATGCACACGCAACCCGCGAAATATGGAAAATATGGAAAGGATCGGCAGCGAATCACGGTTCAGAGTCTAAAGCCCGCGGAGCCGCGAGGCTCTTCGCGCTTCGAGGAAACGGCGGAGCACGTTCTTCGCGATATCGCGTCGACGTGCCTTTATCTCGCGGCATTTCTGTCTCGGACCAGTTCGAGGTGGTACCTGGTACTTGTACGTCGACGCGATACGAGACTGAACGCGCGTGGGTGACGATCGTTACGTTTTTTCAGGCCCAGTAGCATGCCCAGCTAACGAATCCTGCGGAGTGAACGATCGCGATACGTTCGGCCGGAGGAAGATTTCCCGGAGAAATGTGATAGAAGCGGCAACGGAAGTTCGTCGTTCGTTGTTTCAAGTGTGATACAGTCGGGATGGCTCTGTCGATCTGGTTGGTGGCCGTCGCCGCGCTTTTCGGCTACGCCCGGGCGCTCGAAGGACCCAACATCTGCACCAGGATAGAAACGTGAGTCAATTCCTCTAACTTTCTACTCCTTCCTTTGTTCTATAATCTTTCAATACTAAATCAAACTGATGACAGTAATTATAATATTAACCCTTTTCACTCCAGAAGCTTTTCACCGGAAATATTCAATATTTTCTAATGATATACAGACGACGTTTCCTTAGATTGAATTAAGAAATCTAACGTGCATTGAGGAAGAGAACTATTTTCCTTCAATATTTAGTACGTTGATGCATTATACAAAGTTTAATATTGAAAATCAAAGTTTAGTTTTGTTGTGTCGAATCATTTGGTGACTTGGACCTCTGGAGTGCAAAGGTTAAGGATAATAATAGACATAATGATGACCGTGAAAGTAAGAATATGCTCCTTTTGTTTTCTAATTTTTCAATACTACAATTATCAATTAAATACTATTTTTAGTATTCAGTATTTTCTATTCGCTATATTGAATTACTCTTGCGAAATTAATTCGAAATCATTTGAAATTTCGTAACATTCCCAAGATTCTAACGGTTTTTCTGTGCAGATACAAAGTCACGGTGAGGATATCGGAGCAGAAGCCGTACACGATAAGGGAGAACACTTGGTGCTTCAGTTTCCCGCCGAGATGCTCCAAATACAAAGTTGTGTTCAAGACGATCTACAAAGAGCAGGTAAACGAATCAAGCTCGCTATCGCCTAAGCGGCGACTCGAAGTCAGGTCGGAGATTAACAGCGGAATATTATTCAAAACAGGAATTAACGAAGCAGAGGCCGGTGGAAGAGTGTTGCAAAGGCTACACGCAAACGAATACCGGCGATCGCTGCATTCCAGTTTGCTCCAAGGACTGCGTTTATGGCACCTGCATCGCTCCGGACGCTTGCAAGTGCGAGTCGGGATACGGAGGGCCGTTGTGCGATTTCAGTAAGCATGAAACTCGCTGTCCGCTTCGATACAGCTTCGTTATACTTCATTAGAAGTCCCTTGCCTTGGAAATTTACCTAATCGTTGCTCTGTTTATAAATACCACTGCATATATTCATTACATTTTCCTGTTCAACTCGAGTCCCTTGAAGCGTTGCGCACGCTGGACGAGAACTATTTGCCAAACTGGTGAAACTGGTATTCGTACTGAGGTAAAAGTGTGAATTGGATTGCTCAATGCTCCGCGTTGCCTTAAAAGCGAACCGGGGCAAGGAATTTTAATGAATTTCTAATGTTTCTGTACGCTTTTATGTGTGGTGTAAGAGATGTTTAAGCGACGCTTGTTTCCACAGAATGTCCTCCTGGAAAGTGGGGCAAATCATGCGAGATGGAGTGCATGTGCAGGAACGGAGCCACTTGCGACCCATTCGATGGCAAGTGTATGTGCACCAGGGGATGGACTGGTGCCTATTGTGACCAGAAGTGTCCTCCAGATCGATATGGCCAGGACTGTAGCGAGGAGTGTCGCTGCTGGAACGGTGGCAGCTGTCATCACATTTCTGGGGAGTGTCATTGTGCTCCTGGCTACACCGGACCTCTGTAAATAACTTTGTCTCCACACAGAAATGTTAGAAACTCAAAATGAGTTAGATATGTATAAACATTTTTTTGTAGTTGTGACGACTTGTGTCCACCTGGAAAGCATGGCGACGAGTGCAAGTCAGAGTGCAAGTGCCAAAACGGTGGCTCCTGTAATCCTACCACTGGAGAATGCTACTGTACTCCTGGCTGGATTGTAAGTACGCTTTGTTCAAGTGTTGTTGTATTATATTCATTATGTTAATTCCTATTTCCAATAGGGTTCAGTCTGTGCGAACAGGTGCCCGGAGGGCTTCTGGGGAAAGAATTGTTCTGTGCCTTGTGACTGTTACAACGAAGCTGGGTGTCATCATATCACAGGAATGTGTGAATGTAAACGTGGTTATTACGGCGAAAAGGTGTGTCCCTTAATTTGAAGTATCTTGAATTGATAATTTGTTAAAATTGCTTACTGTATTAAGAAGTAATATTATCTTTTAGTGCTTGAACATATGCCCCGAGGGAACGTTTGGCTTAAATTGCACTAATAATTGTACCTGTGAGAATGGTGCAGCGTGTTCTCCAGTCGACGGGTTTTGCACGTGTAGTCCAGGCTGGACTGGCGAACGTTGCAATAAACGAGTCTGCGAGGATGGATACTGGGGTCTCAATTGTGCGAAAGTGTGTACACCTGGATATAATTGAATGATGTTTCTTAATTCTTAAGCGTCTTCTTTATTGAACATGATTCTAACATTGTTAAGGTTTGCGTGTGCGAGAACAATAACACGGAACTCTGTCACCCTTGGACTGGAAAGTGCATTTGCAAGGCAGGATGGGACGGCGACACCTGCGCCAGGCCTTGCCCGTTTTACACTTACGGCGAAGGCTGCCAAAATCGCTGCAATTGCAAGAATAACGCGCAATGCTCACCCATAAACGGAACCTGTATTTGTGCACCAGGATACAGAGGTGAGGATTGTAGTGAACTATGCCCTGTCAACACTTTCGGGGAGAACTGCGCGCAAAAGTGCGCCTGTAAGAACGGCGCTACTTGCTCACCTGAGAATGGACGGTGCAACTGTACAGCAGGTAACAAATCATATTGTTTATCGTCGAGAAAATGCAGGATTAAGATTAAGCAAATTACTATTGAAATCATTAGTTACACTCTAATATTCCCAAAGCTGATAAAAGGTACTTGATACAACGAGCATATTGCGATCGTACTGTTTGAATATCGTTTAACTAGTTTTCATTAACATAAATTGCTGATCAAAGGTTTGGAATCACGGAATCCGAAGAATGGACATTAACGTTTGTACTGCAAGTGATTTCGAACCTTTGACCAGTCTGGTAATCTCTGATCGTACGATCGTGTATTGCATGGAAGACTAATAGTAGTTTTTTGTTAGTTCATGATTTGCACATCTGTAGATTTACATATTATACATAATTATAAAATGGTAGGAAAGGTAAGTAGATAATATTGTACCGTATCCACCAAAGTATTCTGATTAGCGAATTAATAGGAATTAAAGAAACTCTGCTCTTGCATGTATTATTATTACGTTTTGTTAGGATGGGTTGGTGTTTCGTGTGATCGCCCCTGCGACAACAAATCATTTGGCAAGGACTGCGAGGGTAAATGCAATTGCTTTAACAATGCCGCGTGCAACCCGCAAAATGGTAAGGGGGCTGGCTACAATGATTTTATTTAATCGCATAGCTAAAAGTTAATGTTTCCAAACTCTAATCAGAAAACATTAATTTTTATCGATCCTTGATAACGTGTTACGTTAAGAGATTCATCCACGTTCTCAATGATTCCACTGTTTTTTTTTCCTTTCTCTCCGCCTCGTTGCACCTGCACCAAACGATCTATCACATTTTTTAAATACACAGGCACATGCACGTGTGCAGTTGGTTTCACCGGCGAATATTGCCAGGATCGTTGCAATGAAGGATTCTTTGGTCACGGATGTACTCAGGTCTGTGATTGCTACGAAGAGAATAGCTTAGATTGCGAACCTACTACAGGCCGTTGCATATGCAAGCCAGAGTGGCGAGGTTTGTTTTCTCTTTGATTCGTTGATCAGTCGCCATACATGAAAGCTATCGCCTTTCCCTTCCCTATTAACAATTTTAATCCCACTCATTTCATTGCAGTCATCTTTTACGTAGTGTATAGAATAGTTTCACAACTGCGTTTTCCTGTCTTCTTTGAAAACTGTCCACTGCATTGCGTTGTACAGTTTGTTAAAAATTTCGTGAGGTGGAATGTAAGAGTACAAGATTATGAAAGACTGGGAAACGTCGTTCCATGGCGATTTGATCTTCGATTAAATGTGTCGTTTTAATAATATAAAACAGGAATCCGTTGCGAGACAAAGTGTCCGGAAGGTCTTTACGGTGAAGACTGTCATTCACACTGCGAATGCATGAATAATAGTTCATGTGATCCAAATACAGGCACCTGTATTTGTGCTAGAGGTTGGGAAGGCGACGACTGCTCCCAACCCTGCAAGGAAGGCTGGTACGGTGTGCGCTGCAAAGAGAGGTGCCCAGAGAAAATGCAAGGTAAAGACATAAATAATTAATTTTAGGGGAAAGTGAAACTTGGTTCAGCTCTCACAGATCTATTCGAGAATAACAATTCTGGTATTATACGTATATGTACTGAAAACCGATTAATGGTTACAATTGGAAGCATGACGTACTACTTACCGAACGTTGAATTATGTTAGACACTTTGCACTGCGGTTAAAAGATATTAATAGGTATTATTTTTGGTGTTCAGTTGTGCATGCACGTAAGTAACTTGCACTAATGCTTTTAACATTCTATAATAGTGAGAAAACGTAGTGAAATAATGCTTAGAATACTAATTTAATGGAGAGAGAGTACGAAACTAATTACTGGTACTATAAACCTTGAAAAAGCTGGTAAGTGTCCTGATATTTATTATTTATATCATTGGTGTTTATGGAGTAACACATATGAATCTGTATAACAGTGTCATTATTAATATAAAAGTACCCTTAATTTAAGGAAAACATACGGAAACAGGCCATGGAAATTTATATTTGTATTTGTATTTGTACTGTACCTTTGTTCTATGTTACTTTTTAGGTAACATGACCTGCGACCACGTTACTGGCGAGTACGTCTGTCGTCCTGGATATTTGGGCTTAACGTGTGAACATCCCTGCCCACCTAATTATTACGGTCTAAACTGTGCTAATCGTTGTCGTTGCAAAAATGGTGGAGAATGTCATCATGTAACAGGTAAAGCTTCCAAACTGTTCATCTACAATAAGTTCTTCTTACACAAAATATTATTTATCTAGGTGTGTGTCAGTGTCGACCTGGCTGGCACGGGGAATTCTGTCAAACACCTTGCCCAGAGGGAACATATGGCATAAACTGCACTCAACACTGTACATGTCAACACGGTGGCAAGTGCAGGTCTAATGATGGTCACTGTCGTTGTGCTCCTGGTTGGATTGGTACAAAATGTACCGAGCGTAAGTAAAACTAGACTTCTAATGATACAATGAACATCGAATATTGAAGATATTAAACGTTGTGTTGATGAACAGCCTGCCCAGAAGGGTACTATGGGGATCATTGCATGGAACCCTGTGAGTGCAAGAGTGACTTCTTCCTGTGTCAACCTATCAAGGGATGCGTTTGTAGAAATGGATATGGAGGTAAAGATATTTCTTCTTTACAATTATAATAGATATTTATATATTACAAATGTTTTTCAGGCCCGAATTGCGACGAAGAACTATATTTGAGTAACGTTCAACAGAAAGACGAGGCAGGATATGGCAGTATAGTCGCAGGATTCTTATTCGCTGCAGGCGTAGTTGTCGCTATGGTATTAGCTGGTTGGATGTACCATAGGCGGAGAGTAAGAGATCTGAAGAATGAAATTGCTCAAGTGCAATATATTGCTGATCCACCGTCTCCTCCGGGTAGATCATCTTCAGATATTTGTACAGTTTACAATTTGAGAGTTTTTGTAATCAGTGACGTTTCTTACAGAGCAAACTCAATTCGACAATCCTGTGTACGCGTACCAGGGATCCTCAAAATTCGATGATGGAACGACTAGTTTATTGAATAATTTCCAGTTCAGAAATAATCTTGGAACAAGTAAAAAGGTAAACAATGAGAAGGTCATGCTCGGCTTCAACAGCTGTATGGACGAGGATGATGATTCTAAAGGTGAGCATTATAAAGGAAATTATGTTTTTGATAGTATAAATGTAATTATAAAATGGCACTCATGATTATTAATTCTTTTAGGCTCATATAATCGATATGACCTTAAAAATAGAGATGCGGATATGGGTAATCCTAATCTCAACGTGTACCACAGTATTGATGAAATGGACGGGAAGAAGGTAGAGCATGTTTACGACGAAATAAAACAGAATAACGATGAATCGGAATACGACCAGTTGGACAATCCGAGACCAGTCAGCAGTTACAAACAGTTCAACCGAATGCCTAACGGTGGTATCCCTTTGAATTCCTCCGATAACGCGGGACCTAGCAAGATAAAAGAGAAGGATCCAGAAGTAGGGGAAACTTAAAATCTCGTTGCTACTCGTGGATGCAAGTTAAGTTCTACGTTTTAATTTCCAAATATGTGTCTTCAATGTGATTTAAAGGAGCAAGTCGTGAAAAATACTTGCTTGTACTTTCTGGCACGCCGGTGCCTTTCGCTTCCCATTTCGAGAATAGACTTTACGAGTTGTTAATTGTAAATTTAAAAAGAAGAAAAATTTCTGAAAGCTGAATCTAAATTTCCATATAGAAGAGTGTAGATGTACTCTGATTGCTCAGTATGTGCTTGTACATAGTTAGAAGATACAGGATGGATATAGTTAAATGAATATTTTATTTATGAAATCCATATACTCATAGTAATTGTTCACATTTAGTGGCTTGGACAGCCCTTTTTATAACACGACATTTATTAATATTTGAAGCAATATTATCATATTAGATGAATAATGTGCATTGTGTAGATATAAAGAGATCGGCCTTGTAACAATACATTCGGAAATGAATTGAAAAATATCTCTGTTATTGTGATTGTATAATTTATCTATATTTGAGAGTAAAGGTAAAAGTCTACATAAAGTTCGGAATACTCATCTGTAAAATCGAGAGCAATTGTTATGAATGACGTGAAACGATTTGTCGAAACGTACATACATATCTCTGTAGTTAATTGGTAAGGATAGGATAGAAGATCTAGTATTTTAAGTAATTTAATTCGAATCCTCTTTAATGTTGAGAAAATGAAAATCATCGTTTGAGAGTATACGATCTAAATAGTATCAGCAATAAAGTTTTATCTTCGTGCATTTTAATGAATCTTCGAATATCAACATTTGTACATATTCACTGCAAACGAAGTGATAAAAGTGTTAATATTTTGTCTAGAATGTATTATTATATTTATAATTATACATATATACATATATAAGAGAACTCCGTAGAGATCATTTTAAGATACTATTGTAAGATGCAATCATGTTTATCCTTTTTATATTAAATAAGATTCGAAACCTATTTTTTAATTTCTACGAAATATCTATTTTTACGACTTTATATGTACTATTTTTATTTCTTAGATGGATCCGTGAAAATAGATTGTTGTGATCGATTGTAACGTATACGTATACATATACAGACACATGTACATACTATTAAATTAAGATGTAATGTAAAATCCACGTTTTTGTAATACTGCGTTGTAGAATTTTGCGTGAATTACGTCTCAGACCTGCTCGTACTGTTTGACACGTGAGACGGTCTAGATCCCGCGGCTTTCATTAAATTCAGAACAGGCAACGCAAGCCAATAAAGCCCACCGAGAAATAGCAAAACCGATGTAATGTTCATGCAAAAGTTTACACCTGTAATCAGAAAATCGTTTCGTTTACTCTTCGATTTAGAATTGGATCTTTCGTTTCGCTCTTTTCCAGAATAAAGTTTTGTTACAACGACTCACTGTGTATGGAACTGAAGATTAGTATACATAGACCGACAATCGTCGAGAACCCCTTATTAACCGAACGCATTATTTCAACGCCAAGAATGTCGTACAAAGCCAGATCCTGACAGCTCGTTAAACTACCTATACCGATACCACCTAAGAAAGCCCAAATCATAATCAATATAGGTCGTCTCGTGTACGTTAAACCTGTAAATAAACAACGTTCATTTCTGTGATTCGCATAAATAAAGGAACGGATCTCTTATAAGCATGGGAATGCAACGAAAAGAATCACATGCCTATCAGAATAATTCCAGAAAGCCAGGCTGTCAATCCAAAATATATTCTTCTGTCGTGTATCGTTAATTTCAATACTTTGTAACTCGCAACGTTTGTGAACAAGGTGCCAAAACCAGCAATCGTGCACAACGATGCGTGTACGTAAGTGTTTTTTATAACCCTCGAGGATAGAACAGGTAACAATATCCAGAAATAGAGGACACACGCTTTCATTCCTACCCAGCCAACAATAGCCAACCAAAATCGCATGTTTTTCAGGGGACGAAGTTGGTGCTTCCATTTGCCAGCCGAGGAATGAACTGGATTCACAAACAGGTCTACCTCATCATCTGGTTCTTGATACGCATACATATTGTTTCCTTCACTGAACAATCCTTCATTCGTTGTTTCCTCAGTGTCACCGTAGCCCAGGTTTTCACTGTCATGTTCACCATTCGAATCCTGAGTTGTCTTAACCATATCCGAAGAGATCCTTATGGGAAGTTCGTTGTCCTCTTCAGATAAGAGGAGACTGTGAGTTATTTTTGAAATTTAATCTTTGCTTAACTTAATTCGAGTAAGTGTGTATACACGATACTGTCAATGATTAAACGTATGAATTATTTGTAAGGAGGACCTGTAAGGAGAAGCTCGTTGCACGGAAGGCAAGTGGAAAGTCAGTGCACCAATAGCTGTAGGCAGTAGCACCAGAGTCATCAATTGTAGGCCAACTTTTAAGTTAGTCTTGTGCAGGAGTAAATTTATGATATTGGGAATCACTATATAGCCAACAGAAGTTGCCACGTTTTTTAATGTCAGAGCTAAAAGAAGCTTCTTTCTGAAATTCTTTCTTAAAATGTAGTCACTCAGTAGAACTACAAAGCTAGCGCCTATTCCCATTACTGCACCAGCACTGGAATTTGCTAAATATGCACCAACACCACCTGTTGCGAGATAACCAGTTGCTAGAATGCCGACTGCTAAGAGAATTATTCCTATTATTCCTACTAAACGTGGTGTCGATGACATGCTGACAATCATCCTTGTCCAAGGATCTACAGAATTGGACATAGTATAAGAAAATCTGATATTAATTTATTTGGAGTATTCAATGGGTTTACCAGCTAAATTCCAAAAGGCAGTGAACAGTATTGGGGTCACAATAATTTCTTCATTCCATAGATCTAAGTCAGTGTCTTTAGTTTCACTTAAGTATCCCAATACTATGCCGTACATAGATAATATACTAGGAATGGTCATCTGTAAAATTAACATTTAAATAACATCTCAGATAATATAAAAGATCGACCAACTATTTTTTATACAGGGTGTTTAGAAGTGCGTGGTTAAATATCGGGAACTCTATACTTACCTAGTTCTTCGAATCAAAAGGATAATAATTGCCTATGCTGAGAATTACAGGAGAACAAGATTGTACATTAATTTGGAGGAAAGCACGCGGCATCTGATGATACCTGAAAAAAATTATTTTATATTTCTATTATTAGAATGACTACAACGAATTCTTTACCACATGTTGTTCTATATAAATTCCTAAATGTTCTAAAGACCCTGTATAAATAACTTTCTGCACTGAGTTTAAAGAATTAATTCTTTGAGAGTATAATGCTGATTATATGAGTTGAAGAGGTTCTTAAGTTCATCTTCCACTTGTTTGAAACGCTTAGTCTCAAAGAATCAATTGGCTCACCTGTGCTAACGCTTTCATTGAACTTTCAGGCATACCTGAACCAGACACACTCCGCAAAGGACAATCCATGAGTAACCACCATCCGGAACGGTGGGTCCCAGTTCTGGAAACGACGCCACAACTTCATCTAAACGAAGACGCTGCGACATTGACATCCTCCGTATCTTTTGTTGTTCTTATGAAGGAAGAAAAATTACACAGCAATTCAGTGATGCACCTAGATCTATAATAACGCTTCAGTGCGTATTATAATCATTGAAACAAACTGAGAGTGTTATCTAATCTCTGGTAAGATGTCAATGGTCTGATAGGCTTTATGATAAGAAATGGTGAATGTTCTGAGCATACTTTTGTACAAGTGTAGACCTTCTTACGGTTACCAGAGATTGCTGAATAATATCCAAATTGCATTACGCATAGAAATGAAAGCTTATTAGAGAACGTTGCAATTGGTAACGGGTGCTCTAATATTTCTTTCGATTTCTATGCAGTGTTGCCAAATGAAAACAATAGAAGTACAAATATATATCCAACATTTATTCATCACTTGACACGTTCGAAACAGTCAATAACAAATGTCAAAAGTACATGTATCTCGTCGTGAGTTATTCATTACATCAACAAGTATAGCACGCTAATGTCATAACAAACAATTATAGGCGTTTAATCGTTATTAGTGAAATGCAAAAAATTAAGTACGGAATCACGCTATAAATATTACGTTCCTATTCGTAAGGTAAATCCTATTCGTACAACGTTAAGAGAAAATATTTTTACATGTCACAGTAGAAAAAGTGGAACTTCTCAACAGTCTAGAATGTTAAATATGAAATCAACTCTAGCGATCACTAGTGTTAAGGCTCTATTACTATTCAGAATTCATGGGTGCTTTGATTGTTCAATCGATTGTTTATGGAGTCTGATCCCATTTGTCATAACTGCTACTCTAAGTCATATTAGTTTCTTTATTGCTTTAGATATAAAACGCAAGGGCAGACGTTCAGCGACATCGGACGATCAACCAATATTTTTTTAAGCGGAATTAGTGAATCAATGACTATACGTCTTCGCGTGCGTCACCGGTTGCAATCGAAGTATACCGCACCCTTTTGTTAACCGAATCCAGTATCGGCTCGATTTTCTTCTGCAGCTTCGAGCGTTGCACGTAAATCAGAGCGCACACTAATCCTATCAGCACCAGCGTTAGAAAGAATAGCGAAATTGTCGTGCCACGCGAGGCCGTTGAAAACAATTTCGTTGCGCAATTTTTCGTCTCATGAATATTATGCGCCGCCTTACCTGAAAGAAGCAGTACATTTGTTATCACACCGTATCGACATAGAATATTATATTAGAGACAACAACGCCGTTACAAATACCTTCGTAACACTTCAAGTTATTCTTATTGCGAATGAACACTTTTGTCTTGTTCATCCATTTAATGAAGGGGTTCAGCTTGCACGAACACTCGAGCGGATTACCAGACAAGTCGACTGCTAGGCTTTGATTGTACTCGACTATTGCGTCCATGGCATGGAGATCATGTTCCAAGACTTTGGTGAACTTGTTACGCTGAAGGTCTAAGAACCGTAGATTGGATAGGCAGGATATGTTAAAATGTAAAGCAGTGAGAGCGTTATCGCCCAGATAGAGATCCAGAATCCTTGGGAGGTCACAGAACACGTTAACGTCTCGGAATTCCGAGATGTCATTCTGTTCCAAATGCAGCTTCATTAGCTGCTTTAAATTGCTGTAAGAAGGGAACAATTCATTTCATAGAAATGTGTAGAGATAGAAATAACAATGAAATGAACAATGCTAGATTTAATGTTAGAATTTAATGTAGCTTTTAAATACCTGTTCACAAAAATATCATGCAACGTAGCTGCTAGATCTCTAGGCCTCTCACGCTCAAATGCATTGGTCAAGTGGAGTTCCAACAGAGAAACGAAATTGGAGAATACTCTGGGATGATTTCTCTCAGGGTCCAAAGACAGCTTGTTGAAGTCAAGAATAAGGCGTTCAACGCGTTGAACATGATGATACGCTTTCCCTCTGATCTCCTTGATCCTGTTATTCGACATGTCTATCACCCTTAGGTCAGGCAAGTTATCTAATGTGCCAAAGATGTTCCATGGAAGCTCCTCCAAATAATTTCCAGTGAAAATAAGGACCTGCAAGTGAATTTGATTATCTTAATATTTTATGAAATCAAATGGAAAGGTCTATAGTGCATTATATAAATGAAAGAAATAGGAAAAGCAGTGAAGTAATTTAAATAAATATTTCAGTAAGACTGATTAGATATTTAAAAATTTATTTGTCAATGTTTCTACCTGTGTTTCATTGGGCAAATGTGCCAGTGGTTCTGTGTTGAGGAAACCTGAGTTCGTGCAATTAACGACATACTGATAACGGTTCTCGTAACACGTTTTCATGCAAAGGCAACGCCTTTCGAAAACCGATCCACATTCGGCTATAGCCGACTCGTGGGTCTCCAACGAGTGCCAATTCGGGTCGCAGTCATTTGGTGGTTGAGCAGTGGACAAATATATTAACAGGAATATTGTGTACAGTTTCTTCATCGTATACCTGAAATTGTAAAGCGCCCATTAGTACTTATAATTAATGATAAACTTGTATAAGAATTACTTTTAAAAGATGCATGTACTATAGAGAAAGAATCGTTGTTCATGACGTTAGTTCAAATTCTGGCGCGGAAACGATATTTGAAATTGTAACCGTTGATTGGTCGAGACGATTTAGGCGGGTACTGTATAGTAACGTACGTAACGCCTAGCCAATCGCATCAGTACTAGAGGTGATTGTCATGCAGTGAAGTTTTGAAAGTGTTTACACGAAGCATGCTTTCAAGTTCAATGGAAAATAAAGTTTATTACATTACAGAGTAATTAATAATAAATAACGATGAGTCATGCGTGACAAGAGTTTTATATACTGCGTTTGACCACGTACATTTTATCAATCTATCAACAAAGGTTAGTCTTCCTACCATATTGTTTATAACTTTTGTAATACTTTTCCCATATCAATCTATCCTTACTAACGTAACCACTGTTCTGTTATTTGATTAGATGCATACTGTATTTTATTGTACCTAGAAGTATTCATAAATACCAGAGGGAATCTTATATGGATGTAGTGTATTTGCAGAATATATTTTACCTATTATATTAAAGGAATATTTTTCTATAAGGATGCCAGGTGAGAATCCGTACAGTCAAGAATGATGCAGAATGTATTAAGGTACAACTGAATGAATACAACAAACATACCGTACCCTCTTTAATAAAACTCCACATAAAACAATGAACAATTTAAAGTTGTCCAAGGGAAGTCAGAGGAATGCACAGCAGGGAAGGTAAAAGAAGTGCATTCTGCTCTATGCACAGAAAACTGTCTGTGTACAGAAATAACGCCAGGATGATTGCGTAGCATGGAGATAAGCAGGAAAGTAGTCCATCCAATACACGGCTGTCTACAGAGGATTAAACCAGGACAAGGAGTATGGTAAAACGGGCGGAAGATAATTCAAATGCGACAGGTGCAAACAAACTCGCGATAACGCGCGCTTTGTTAGCTAAATACAATCTCAACAAATACCCCTGAAGCCATGCAGCTCTCAGGAGGCCACGGGAACGAACAGCGTTCCGGTTTCTAGCAGAAAGACGACTCGCGAACCGGAGAAGCGAATATTGGAAAAGGAAGATCGGATTTCGAGTCGCGTTTCCTGCAATCCGATTTTTGCCCGAGGACTGGGACCACGTAAGAAACGAGACCACCGCTGTGTCACCGTGGACACGGGTAAAAAGAAAAAAATTCGGCACCTAAAATAAACTAATCACCGCGTCGCGAGTCGGGGGGAGAAGAGAGAAACTCCCGAACGGGATGAACGCATCGAGAACGATGCAAATGAGAACGTGTCGCGCGAGCAGGCAGAATGTTTGTCGAATAAATATCAAAATTAAACAGTCTCGGTATCGCCAAAGTCTAGAAAGTGATGTCATAGCGACTCGATGCTTTAATTGCTAGAACAAAGAATGTTAAAAATATACTCACAGATTTTGCTGATATTGACCATGTAGCAGGGTTTGAAATTGTATATAGAATTATTTATTGTTCTCATTAAGAAGAATAACATGGAGTATGATTTTCAAACCTGTTCCGGTAAGAAAATAATTATCTCCTTTTTTGCCGATAGTTCGAACTGTATCGTCTCGACACTAGGACCAAAGTAGGTCGACGAGTCATACCGCTTGTAAAAACGTCAGGCTCACGCACCCACGCAACAGGTGATATCAGGTACAAAGTATTACACTCTGCAGGGAACTCGATACTTCTCTATTAACTTCCTTCCAATTCAGAGATCATCATTCTATGTACAATTTTATCAACCGTTCCATTTCCCATTAAGAAAACCACACGCCATTCATTCACCGATTTACCTATTTACAGATATTCACAAAGTACTACACTATCCACGCAAATGGATACCTCGAACCACTCAATCCAAACGCATCAAACACAAGCAAACACGTTCTCAATCTCCGACTGAAAGGAAACCCGCAGTGGTACCTTTCGGTTCCTAATTTTACACGAAACTCCCACATAAAGAGGAAAGCTATAGCTATCGAGAACAGGTAGTTCCAAGCATCGAAAAAGAAATAAACAATTGTTCCATCGGCTTACTCACCGTTTTGAAGCAGGGAGTAGGACGCGGCGAGCAGTGATTCATCGGATCGTTCACCGGCTGACTAGTTTATCATCGGTGTTGCCTCTCATTTTCTGTCTGGACCGGAGGGAACTGTCGCGCACGCACGCACGCAAGGCAAGTCGAGGCACGACACGAATTTCTCGAGTCAACACCGAAAATACCGGGGCGCAGGAACGCGGTGGCCCTTCTTGGATTTCACCGAGCCGCGCGCGCGTTCCGTTGACCTGTGCGCCGAGGAAGGAGCAACCTGTTGGAAGGAACGCGAAGGGAACGGACGAGTCACGGGACGCTCGAAATAATCGCGTAGCGGGAAACAGGACTTCTCTCCGCTGCGCGGCGGACAGAATTGCTCGGAGGTGCTCCGCGCGGACCGGCCGCACCTGTGCTCCCTCCTTCTAACCCTTCCCCGCGCGTTTTCTCACTTTCTCCGCGTCCCTCCTTCTTCCTCGGACCGCTCCGAGCCCGCGTCTCTTCCGTGTCTCACCGATTCCTCCTGTTCTGCTTTTCCGTTTCTGTTTCTCCCTTTTGGCCCCTCGCTTTATGATGTCGCAGCCTCCACGGAGCTCCTCTGTCGTTGGTAATTGAAGGGAAGAGTTCTGTTCTAATTTCATTTGTATTCGGGAGACGTTTCAATTTGTCAAATTTAGTTTGGAATTTCTAGCAGGCGTCTGACAGGATATCATTGAGCAAGGGGTTGACACAAATGAGTCAGAGTGACTTATTTTTGATTTCCTCTTTGTACTTAATGGAAAGCTGTAGATATTTCTATGAAAAATGAATAAGGGAACTAATTCAGTAATAATTTATATAGTTTAAGTGATAGTTCTAGTGTCAATAGAACTCTCTTGTACTCTTGAAGAATACTTGGCTCGTAATTCTCTGGACACTGTTTGACGCTAAAGATGAAGCAATGCGGAATACACGTGGAAATGAGTAAATAGCAAGAGCAAACGATATCTAGGCTCGTCGGTGTTTGATCGTTAAGCGGTCCACGTCGCGTTATGTAAAAGAAATGTCGGTAAGAACTATTTAATTACAGAAGTCCTAACTCACGCGAGAGTGTCGTAATGGCTTCTTTAATCCTGTCTAAGCCTCTTTTTATATGCCGCGCGAGTTTCTTAATTACAGTGTAAAATATCACGCGCTAATCTTCGTTTCTTCTGTTACGGTTCCAACGTCGGAGGACGCCGAGGAGGATATACGCTATTCAAGCTGTGAAGAACGCTTCGGAGGATATCCTGAATCCAAATGGACGGTGAGGCTATATAAATTATAGGCGACATGACATGAAATATTAAATTATGTATTTGTATGCGTGAATGCGTTTGCGTGGTCGTGATTGTTATTCTAATTTTGCGCCGAGCGCTATTGGAGTCTCGAGTGTCGGGAAATACTTGGGGAACTGTTGTTTCAGAAATTGTATTCAAAAAATAGGGAACTACGGTTTACTTAATTACTATTGTTGATTAACGCATTGAACGCCGGCCCTGCGATAATGCTGGATTTTTAGTCTAGCGTTTAATTGCTACATTTTAGATATGTATAACACAAATTCAAAGTAAAATTCACAAAATCGAATTCCTTATTCTCTTCTGTAAATTAGAAATTTTGGTTTAATCGATGTTTAAAAATGTATCAATGTAATCACCGACGCTCGCGTTTTTAGTAGCTGAAATTTACCCAGCGTTCAATGTGTTAAAAATGTTTCAAGAAACTATACCATTGCATAGCTTTGGCACATAGCTTAGTTTTTCTTATGGAATAGGAATAGGAATGGTGTACTGATCAGTTGACAGAAAAATGTCCTTGAATGGTTCCATTAAATATATATTGATCTCTTTGAACATTTCTCGTAACATTTACTTGCATAATGCACATAAGTTGGAAATAAATATACACGCAAATATCGTGGGTACTAGTGTTAGAGGTGTTACATGTTCATTTTGCTCTTGTGAGTTGATAAAACTTGATAATCCTAGTCACCATTTATTCTCTGTATACACTAAAAACTGGATTCCAGTATGTTCTCTTAATGATTAATTATTGTTGTAATATGTTACAGTCAGACACATATTTGTTCGTCTCGTTTAACGTGTGTGTTGTACGTGTGTGTATGCGAGTGTGAAAAGAATTGATGAAATCAGTGAGAACGAAAATATCTCACTTAAAAATCAGTAAGAAAATATGTATACACGTGTGTGTGTATATATAATATATATAGTATATATATATGTATGTATATATATATTAATATCAGAATTTAAAATATCTTTCGAATGATGATTTCATATATTTTCTGAATATACTTGCTCGTCGATGTTTCTTCGTTCGCTATCACGTATCATGTATCTTCCCTTTTCTCTAAAGAACCGACTACACAGGGCAATTTCGACATGTACAAAATTATTCCAACGAAACAACATTGCAACCAACGAAATGATTCGATAATGGGAAACCACGAAATCCGTAATTATAGCAATTTGATCGTCACCGTTGAAAATACTCGTTGGTCGCTTCATTTACTCGATAAGCGTTTCTGTACACTTAAGTCGCATTTTGTTTGTCACATACATAACATGTGTATACGCATATACATATACGTGTAGACGATTATCTATATACCCAACCAGAACGTCTCAAACTTGAACCGCCGCGATTCAATGAAATTATCATGAATGATTCAAGACCAGTAAACGGTTCAAGATTTCCTGGTTAAAAAAGCGAGTGACAGTGCAAGTCCTATCACCGTCTTCACCGAACAGTATAATTTGTTTCTTGCACACGAAAGAAACTCTTAAAGCGATGTTACTTTAACACGATCCATTAACACATTGCCAATCAATCAGACTTCGTTTGATTAACATTTTCTCACCGTCAGGTTCAATGTCTGACGGATACATACCGTGAAGAAAATTGACGCGCAACGTGTTACTGGTAAGATACAATTAATCGGATAAATAAGGAATCCAACTTTGTAGACTAGATACTATGATCTTTACCTCGCAGATTTTGATTTGGAACGATATCCGAAAGAAGGGAATTCAATTATTCCCGCAATTGTTTTCTTTTTGTACCATACTCATCGCCAAGACACGATACACGCAAAGATCAGTTTCTCCTCGGCCTATCCTAGACGTTCGACGACGAACGTCGGGTGAACAATTAATAAACATCTTCTCTACTCGCTACAGTTATAGGCAATCTATGAAACGTTCATCGTCAAACGCGTCGATCACTTTTATTTAAGACACAACTATTCCAAAAGCAGCTCTTGTTCGTTACACTTATTTACATTTTGATGCAACATTGAATCTTCCTCTTTTTTTGCAGTTTCCACGAAAGCACGCCGATCGATCGCTGCCGAACAGTTGGCAGGACGATCGCTTAAAAAGAATATTGCAGCCTGGAAGGTGCGGCGTGCCGATAAACTGGATCGATTCTCCAAAGTCACAAGGAATTGGATGCTTCTGCTCAGCTATGTCCTTCGCCGTTTTCTGTCGCTTTAAATATAACATGGATAGACTATAACGCTACAAGAGAGAAATTCTGCCTCAGCGGCGTCCTTACAATAATATAATCTCATTTGGACATCAATATTAATTACCAGATCGATCATCTCAGCGTCTATGGTACTATATTATGTAATACGCGCGTACATTATAGCATGTCGTCGCGTGTGCACGTGTACGCGTTGAAACTGGAGCATTGGCAACAGAACGGCAGATTACGCGTTCCACAGTATCATTGTTAAAGCTTAATTTCGTTCGCGCGTTGAAACCACGCGAAAGGAATATTTCAAAAATGTCTCCAAAAGTCGGTAAATCATGGTAGAAATAAAACCGTTTTGTTGCGTTTTCACTTGAAATGAAAACTGGCAGTTTAGAGAGTCGAACCAAGTCAGAACGACTTCCGAACATTAGAAAAATGTGCCAGTTGCAACCAGAGAAACCGTCGAGTTCGTACAGTGTTCACACATCATTCTCGCATCCCCATTCATCCCTTAACATACTAACGTTAGTTTGGTTTACTACTTTGGCCTAACGAAAATGTAAATCATATAGGTACTCTGTAAAACGTAATGCTCTTCTGCACAGGTCTCCGAGGTGGAAGCAGACGCACAGACGAGAGGAGCAAGTCGGTAGCGGTGAAATAAAGCGAAGCGCGCGTCTTCCTCTTCGCTGGACTAAGCGGACGTTCTCGTTTCGATCTCGTAAATGCCGACACGATTAAAATGCATTCGACCGCGACGAGCGTGCATACGAAACGCGTTCCAGGAGGAGAAGGGAAACGATTAACCGGAGCGCGGCCGTTGTAGATACAAAAGTTACAAACGTGTAAAAAATGCTGGTAAAAAAGGAAAAGGAAGAACTGTCATTTTCCTCCCTGAGCAGGATCATAATACGCAGCCCGACATCCTCGGGTTGAAGAAACGGACGAATACCTCGGAACCCATTCGGATTGGCACAGAAATGAAATTGTTATACCGGTTGGAACACTTTGTCGTAACGATATGTGGCGCGAGGATGGACTTAAGAGACGGCGGCGCGGAACACGCTTCGATTCAGGCTTTGTATTTGTCCGACGAGTTGATGGCGCAGTAGAGGACCAGCGAGAATATCAGGGCAAGCAGTTCCAGGCAAGCTATCGTCGCTTCCAGGGCTTTGAACAGTATCTGCAGGTCGGACAGCCATTTCATTATCTCCACTATGCAGCCCTGCGATGGAAAAACAAAGATTTCCAACGTTTAATCGAGGTCACTCCTTCGCGACGCATTAGCGCGCTCATCTGGCCGTGGTTCCACCAAGTGACTCATGACATTGTGTGCCTTGGGTCAACGGTGAGACCACTACCAGTAATGCAGATGTGACGTAAAGTTCTTAAGTGTCTGAAGTTTTCTGCAGTTCTACTTTATGGGACAGATGAATACTAGGATTACCTCGGGCCAAATCGCAGGGTTGATCTTGTCCCCAACTTTAATATACAAGGCTGCGTTGCAGGCCTCGCTGCCCTCCTCTTTGCAACAGGATTCTGGTAGTTTGTACAGGTTGTTTATATCCTCGGAAACGGTCAGACTGACTGGAGTCGAAGGATCTTTGCTGGAGTATTGACTGCCAATCCAGTCGGATGGACCAGTAGCTCCGCAGCATTTGATTCCACCCTGGATCGCGTCTATTATCTCTGTGGAGCTGTCGTTGATGGAATACTTGTTCTGAAAAAGATATTCCATTATGTAGGCTTCTGTGAGAGTAATTGGACACTTCATTTTTACAGGGTATGGACAGGCACATCATCTAACTTAGGAAGATGGATGGTTTAACCCTTTGATTGGTTTCTCACTTTATGGTTCACATCGATGTTCATTCAATTGCAGCTTAATATGGCGCTTTATTTATTCAAGAATATTTGGGAGTCATTGGAATGTTACCTTTAAATGGTACAATTGTGATACTATAAATAAGTATAGAAAAAATTGTTAAAACGAGTCTGACTCGACATAGGACTGCTAAGGGTTAATCCATAGGTATAATAATAGTATTAATTAACCTCGAGTAACCGTACCTTGATCGTATCTATCATGGACGTTTTAGCCACCTCTTGGAAGCTGCTCCAGTTGCAGTAGAGCCAAGCTCCAGCTGTGAACTGCGCCACGATAATCACTAGGAGGCAGCTGAAGAAGGTGATCAGCATGCACCTGGACGCTTGCAGGGCGCCCAAGCAACCCAGAAACGCTACGATCGGCGTGATGATCGCAATCGCGATCAAAATGTAATGACCCACGTACCAACCGTGGCCGTCGTGCGGGAAACCGATCACGAACAGCACTACAGCGATACAAGTGATCGCCACTGCCTGAAAACATTTTTATCTCGAGCATTAAACAGTTCAGAATTTTCATACATTACTGTGTCAATCAGTAGTTTTCTGATGTCTTTATTCTACGTGCCATGGGATTATTTAAGGAAAACGTGTATCAAGTAAATTGTTCCTTACATTTATTACAATCTTATAATTATTAGAATTACAACTGTTACAAATTTCATTTTAAGCTCAAGAGTCACATCAGGAGAATATTTCCTTCCTAGTCTGTAAAAACATTAAACCGGATAGCAAAAAAGAATATTTCCTGAAATCTTTCTGCGATGCTTCTGGAGCACACGTTGAAGCGCTATCGCGAAAAAAGGTCACAGGGGACAGGAACCGGGACAGCGTGCTCGTTCAACATGGAAACTTCCACATCTGGTGGGCAGACCATTGTAAAGGGCGCGTCCTGTCCTGCACAGGCCCGACCGTTTCGCAAGAATACTTCATTACTTATCCATATAACGCATTGTGAGCGGCGCTTAAGCCATAAACCAGAACACTCGTTCCCCTGCTTTCTCTCTCTAGATAGGGCGAAAAAGGTCAGGTATATTTTTGCGACGGAGCAGGAAGAGGACACGTTCCCGCGCATACAATGCGTCGTTGAACAGTAGCGCTCCCGCAAAGAATTCAACTGCCCCCGATGCCAACGAAAACTTGCTCATTAACGCATTCCGTGCCACTGAGAATTTCATATCTTGCTTATACAGTGCACTGATTTTTTCAATGATTCAGTTACACTCAAATTTCCATTCCCATTTGGCGACTGAATTCTCAAAATTGATAAAAATATTGAAATGATTAATACGTAAATTAATTCTCAACTATATGGCAATGTTCTCTAATTACCAAACCATTTGACGAGCCATATATTTGATGCTACACCCTAATGAGCCATCAATGGTAAGATCATGTAGAATTATAACTATTGTAACGATTAGCTTCTTTTGAAAAATGGGCTCAAGCCACTTCCAAGATGAATTTATTCACTTGCTCATTTATTTCTTTTAGTTCACATTGAAGATTGTTAGTAGGAATGCGCGTCGCCTCGTCCGGAAGATAGCCGGAGCTTTATCTAACGAGCACGCCAGGGGCATTTATCACTGCAACGGGTCTAAGTGAGTTGCATTATCTGGCCGGACGGCTTTCTTAAAGGTCCATTTTCCTTCAGGCGAATCCTGAGACAGGCCATTACTCAACGGTGAAACCGGCATGTTTACACGACAGAGAGAGAGCGAACAGACCCATGGAAAGTTCACCGGGTTAAACTCCGTGGAACCGGTAAAATTCAGAGGGAATGTGTTCCCAACGGCAAACGAAATAGTCTCATCTTGTGTCTATTCCAAGTAAATCTGTTTAGACTTTAACCCTTTCAACCATGGCGTCCTTGTATAAGGACATGCTAAATGCTCGGTGTATCTAAATTAGGTAAATTTTGTTTATTTATACTCCTGTGGAGTTATCTTAGGAGTCCACTTTGACCATATGACAATGTTTACAAACAAATTTACTGAATTTAGATACCAAGCATTTATTCAGAACCTGATATGAGGACACCATGACAGAAAGGGTTAATACGTTCCGTGCCATGGAAATCTTGATTATATTTTACTCATGAACTATTGATTTTCTTCATAAAGTATTAACTTATATTCAAGTTTCTAGTAACTTGTATATTTTGTTCCTTTATGTTCTCTGCTAACGCATGCCATCCATGTCCTTTAACCCTTAGCACTCCGCATAGTTTTGTGATATGTCAGCTCCTACCAATTTTGATAGTAGTCCTACTGAAAATTAACAATGTTAGACCTTTAATTCCCTTCTCAGTACAAACTTTGTATATTTGGAATTAAAATTAAAAATATTTAATATTACTGGAGCAATATTGGAGCCTACGGAGTTCAAAGGGTTAACATTGCGTGCCGAGTAATGTTCAGGAAACTGTAACGATGGCAATTTTCAGTGAGATCAATTTACATCATTGTATGTATGAACAGTTAAGAAAATATTTTAGAAAAGCGTGTAGCATGTATGGTACTGAACGTGTTAAGCACTCCCCTTGTAAATTAGCGTGTCCAATATCCAATTTGCTATTGAAAGTAACGTTTCTCCCAGCATTCGAGTGAAACCCCGACGGAGGTGCGCTCCCCCTCCCCTGCTGAACGCAAACAGAAGACTTCCTGTATTCGAGCGGCGTCCCAGCGTCGTTCGAGCCGCGAATGCTGATGTAAGAACAGATGCAAGAACCACCGGTAGGATCGGTCGAGTCAAACGGATTCTCAGCGGATACGATCAGACGTCAAACATAGCGCGGTAAATCAAGTTAGAGGCGAGTGCCGCGGTTATTTGCATTGGGCGAACCAGTCGATTGATAGTCCCATGGAAAAGTTGTTCATATTCCAGCGATTACTTTGAACGTTCATAGAGACTTAACCCTTTGTACTGCAAAAATCTGTCACTAGAAATATTCAGTTTATTCTTATGAGATATAGATAACATTTTTTTAAACTCAGCGAGGAATCTATTCACAAAATAAGGGGAACAATATTTTATTTCTAAGTTTCATGTATTGACAGATTACTTAAGACTTAATGTTAAATACGAAATTTTACAATTTTGATGCAATAGAGTGGTGACTGAGAGGCACCTTTGTTAAGGGTTAAGTCTTTAAACTCTAGGCTCCAATATTGCACCAGTTGTAATATTAAATATTTTGCATTGAGAAGGGAAATAAGAAATGTTATAGCATTTGTAATTTTCGCTAGGGATACTATAAAGATTAGTTGCAGTTGCTGATAGATTACAAAGCAACCTGGAGTGCTAAAGGCTATTATCTAGAAAATGAGACACTACTCGCGTAACATGCAAATGTTAGTCCTATTGAAATTCACCGTGTGTTTTGCAAGTTACAACGGAGGCGGACATGTTTACTTTTGAATGCATTATGTATGCGCTTCAACCCTTAACTCTCCAGGTTGTTTTGCAATCTATCAGCAACTGCAACGAAATTGAGAAATGCTATAACTGTTCAAATATTTAATATTACAACTACTGCAATTGGGTTAGGCGTTACCAGACAAAGTTAGGCGTTACTAGACAAAGTTGAGAGAATGTGAACGTTGGGATTGCCAATTATATTCCAAAGTAATTATTGCGCGTGCCGTCACCCGTCGCCATTCCATTGGCATTCTAAGAAAACAGGATTAAGTCATAGAATATAAAATAGAAAACAGGCCGGCCACGTATTATGGGCCTTCCGTGGAAGCGTTTAACACCTCTATCCGCTGCCAACTATGCCAAGTTCAACGTCGTTAGTTGTCGTTTCGTGTTCGGTAATTGTTCCTAAATAGAGATGAAGCAAGTCCACGCGTAACATAACCCTTTGCACTCGAGAGCTGACTCTCAGTCACCATTTGATCTAGTAAAATTGGAAAATTTCCGCCGATTTTTAATAATTTATTGGAAAAAGAGGAAAATTCTAGGCATGTGTTACGCCTATATTTATTTTCAAGTATAACAGTTGATTACAGAGGAATAATATTTACTTTGAATTCGAATGAACCAAGTAATACATGTCTCACTCGCAGTTGTACGCCAATGGGTTAAAACGTTAATGTCAGCCACTGGTGACTGACGCTTCTGAATGACTAAAAAACAATCGTAACACACAAAACAACCGATGTGAAATAAAAACGTTTAACAAGGCAACTAAGTTGATAACAGTGTAACGCAAACGTTGCAACGTCAAACAATTCATAAGTATTCCCACTTTTCTTTGCTACAAAAGACAAACTCTATGGGGAAACGCTTAAGATTTTCGTGGCGCTCAACGTGTTAATGTTGAATAGTTGAACGAAGCTGGGGAGCAATGGGAATCGGTAGCACTCGAAGCATCCCAGACGACAGAAGTATCTGGGCCGCGGTGTAGGACGTGATCTCGTAGGAAGAACATATTCGCTCTCTGACTGGAAATCTATATTTAAACGCACTTATTCCCGTTGAACTTTTTCAAACTAGCCGCGATGCTTGTCCCAATGCTGATGCAAGCGTTATTGCTCGTTTACCGTGGAATAATTGTTATACAATTAAATGGCCGGCGCGGTGGGCTGTGTAAGTGACCGTCGGATGACCGGCGGGTCAACGCGTTGAATGCCACGGTGGTCACCGGTGACCTCCAACCAAATTGAGTTGTTGTAGTTCACTCAATGAAATAATGATTATTCGAAAACATTTCTATATCATAAATACTGCTGTCTAATGCACTGTGGCAGAGCTAGATGAACGTGCAATAATAATAATATTAGATTTTTTCCATTTTGTGCATTTTGCTCTACGAAATCTCTTTGCACTCGAAATATTTAGTATTCAGAAATATTCAGTATTAATTAATGAGAAAACATATAAATTAAAGAGAAAAGTTATTTTATTTCAATATTCCATATATCAATGCATCATACAAAGCTTGATATCATATATAAGACTGTATAATTTGCAAATCAAATCGAGTGGTGACAGAGTCACCACTCCAGTGCAAAGGGTTAATGACGCGCAAATCAGTGTGAATCACTTCTCGGAGTTTTAAGAATTGTATTATTCAAAATGATGAGTAAGTTGGATGCAAGCTGTGGGATGAAAATAAGCATCGTTTAAAAAAAGTATGGATATTTAAAAGAAGTCCTTTGGACGTCAACACTCGTGCTCTAGCCAAGACCAACCCCATTTTATTTTATTTGTCTCATGGGATTCACTGATTTCGAATTTTTCTTTTAACACAAATATAGTTATTTAAGCGAATTTTTGTTTTCAGTCTGTTGCCAATTTGTTTATCAAGATACGACTTTCCACTTAGGGGTGAGTGGTGAAAGTTTTTCTCGACGCGACGCTACGTCGATTTATCTAATTATGTTAACAGTTCAGACGGCGCTCTATTTATCAATGGAACAAGTTCGCAGTTTCGAGATAAATTGGAGGTCACCGAACCGATGCGACCGGCAGGATAAACTGATGACTGTCGTTGAAAAACGCCAACAATATTCACGCGTCTGCTTTCCTAAAAAATTCCACTACGAACCCACAAAAACTTCAACAATAAAATTCAGCAAGACAGGTAATTGGAATTCAAATGCTACTAAATACTCCAATTAACCTCAACGAGCATACTATAAATATATATTTCCAGACGTGCACACAAATATCAGTTCGTCGAACCACGCTGCATTTGTATTTCTAACCACCGTCGAGGAAAAAACCCACCCCGACAGCAACAATTCTATCGATCGGTAAACATTCCATAATGAAAATACTCAACTCTTCAGAATTCTCTAGAAAAACGTTTAATTTGCAGAAGTGTAAATGAAAATGAAAATGAAAATGAGGGATTGAATGGTGAATCGTTCCCGTGACACGAAAGAGGGAAAGTGCAGCAACAGATGAGGCGGCCGTAGAGGAGCAGTGCGTCGAAATGAACTTACCCATAGGACGTTGAAGCAGATCAGCGAGCACCTGATACAACCATAATATTTCGGGAGCACCATTTTCGTTCTTGCGACACTGGACACTCGGGTTAGGTTGCTGGTTAGAGAGAAGACACGGGAGGCCAGCGAGCTCACGGGGACCGTTTACATTCGTCCCGACGCCGATGCACGACTGAGGGGGAAAGTTTTCATTGGCGCTGCAGTTATTCAATCTCGTGGCCGTGCACGCACAGGAGGCGGACACGCCGATCCATTCCACTCGGTATTTTCCGAACTACTGTCACGGTACGCGGCCGACCGCCGTCGCTTTTAATCGCCGGTGCAAAGTACGACCAACGGATTGCCACTGTCGTTTCAACCTTCCTGAATCTGCAGCTCGTCGCATCGTCCGAGCATCCCCTATCTCTGTCCATCCGTCGGTACGCCCGTTTCCTTTACACCCACCTTCAATCGCGTCTGTCTCTGTCTGTCTCTGTCTTTCTCTGTCTGTCGCTTACTGTCTTTGTTTAGTCTCTGTCTTGCTTGTTTCGCACGTTTTTCTTCAGTCATCGTTGAGGATGGGTTTAACACATTGCTTGCGTTGAATTTGATGGCAATTTTCACTGAGGTCAACTTATGTCACTGTACATAGAAAAACGCAGATATATTGTTGTGTAATATGTTTTAGATTGTATATTTTAAATATGTAATATGTTTTAAATGGGTGATCGATTCGAGTTAAATTTTATATTTTTTCAATGCTGTGATTAGCGAAGTTGCATGGCTAAGTGTCTTTATAGAAACGCGATTTCTCGTTACCGGTACGCAGTGTGTTAAATGGCACAGTACTTGGGAGAATAGTTAAGTCTAATGCGTGTAATTGTTAGTCAGGAAGCTGGCAAGGTCGAGATAACGCTCCTGCGTTGAGATATTCCATGGAATTTGTTAGAGTTGTAGTGTACAAGGTCTGTGGGAAAGTGAGGATGTAGAATTAAATGGGTTTAGTGTGTAATTGTGTTAAGTATTGTATGCTTAATTGTATTCTGTGGGAGTTGTAATTGATTTTGTATTAGTTTATGGAATGGATGATTGGAAATGTACGCTCTGTAGTGTATCGAAGGTTTTGCATTTAGAATAAAGTTGTGCTTTGTAGTGGAATTTAGCGAGAATCATTTTTTCATGATATCTATTCTTGAAACCAGTGGCGCCATTCGCGAAGATTGTATGTAACAGATGTACCACTGAGATACCGACACTGTCAAAGTAACACTACTGTGCTATCAGAATGGAGTATGTATTGCAAATGTATATTTGTTATAATAAATGCTGGAATGATTATTTAATTACTATGATTTAAACTTTAGCCGGCATAAGAAATGAAATTATGAAATTGATAGATTATGTTGAATGTTATGATTGTTTATAATAAATTACTTTAAGACCTATTGTAAAATGTAGACCATATTATTGCATAAATAAATATCAGTTCATTTTATTCGCTTTATAAATATTTCAGTTCCCCTCCACGTAAATATGGTGTTTATTAAATAAAACACTAGTGAATCGATAAGTATTTTATTTATTTCTCTGAAAAATTAGCGTAAACCAACTCTGAAATATTAAAAACATTAATTATACTATCGAAAAGTGTACGTAAAAAATGCTGAAATCATGCTAATGATTCAAATGATCATCAAAGTATAGGGTTTAACTGTTTTCCTTATTCCCGCAATGAGTAAGACAAGGACAGAGAATAATGGCGGAGCAACGGAATCGCCATCTACCGGACACTATCCACAACTATTTGACTAGAAGTATCAGCATTCAAGGGGTTTCTCATACCGACATATCTATTGCGTCGGTAATGTTAATTATACCAGTAGATAAGTCGGTATGAGGTTAAATTATTTAAAAAATAAATCTAACTACTAATTCAATCATTATAAATAATTTTAATAAATTAACAAATATTATTTTATAAAAAATATATTATTAAAATTAAATAATTAAATATATAAAAAATAAATTAAACAATTTTTTTTGTTAATAACAAATTTTTTGTTTATAAATTTTGTAAAGCCTTCGAGAGACCCCCACGAGAGACCCCTAAGAACCCCTCGAAAAACCACCAAATTTCAACGAGAGACCCCCTCGAGAGACCGCTCAACAACCTCGAGAAACACCCACGAGAAACCCCGCAACTA